AGCAACAGAAACTGTCCCTAATTCACTCGACAACAAAGAGTTTGCCAACCACTACAAATTAGTATACTGGCGGAATTCTACATACTGTATAATTGAACAGGTGGATCAACCTCTGTTCCGGTGAGGAAACCTAAAGGTCCAGGATATCGTGATTAAATTTTTAACCCTTCAGACAACGAAAGTGTTTCAGTGGGGTGAGTCAATAAGGACAAAGCGAAGTCTTGGGATAGAAACAACTTCCAGCAAAACAATAGTCACTTGTAGAGTCTTGAAATTGCCTAGAAGAATTTATTTCTTATCTGCAGGTTACTATTGGCAGTTCACTTTATTGTGATGCATGCATTAGCAGTCGTTACGTTGAATATTCTTTAAAATTGTCAAAAACATGGATACTGAACAAACAGTACTCTTTTCGACTACCTTTTCTTCATCAGGATCTACATTTATACGTCGGACTCTACAGTTATGTATATACATTATAGTGAATGAATGAATGAATTAGTGTGATGAACAACATTAATGTTCCTGTTTAAATAACATCGAATCAATAATATTAATAGATTACAGCTCAGTAGCATCAACATAAAATAAGCTAAACGTCAGAAAGAATTAGGAAAAATAATATTTACAAATTCATGAATATATAGTCTCTTCTGAAGGCCGGTCAGACCAATAGTAGGGGCTGGACTTGCTTCTTTTGAACACACAGCACTGGTTGTTTGAGGCGAATTGCAATAGCCTCTGTTGTTTGGAGCATACGGTGCTTCGATGATTTTGGGAATTTATTAGGCACCCGGTAGATGATGAAAGAGAAGGATTCTTCAATGCTAGCTAGCTGGCTTTGTGGCCGGTTAGCACCAGATGGTCCAAGATTGAACTGTTAATAGTTTCAACTACACCTTTACTCAGCCATACTAGGAGATGGTCTCGCGAGAGTACGAAAAATTGAGTTCCTAGAGCAACAGCCAATATAACTCGCTCCACAAGCGCAGTCGAATTGGTTTACAGATAGTGAGTAGGCCATTTCCGTCTCTTTCTTTGTCATGTTTTCTTGATAAATTTGTCGGGATAACCATTCTTTAAAATCCTAATTCTGTTTAGATTTCAGGTGGAAGATTCGCTTCCTATAAGGGCGCTTGTGAAAAGCAGGTAATTATTTCAAAAATCTACATTTATTCAATAAATTCTCACCAAATCGGAAGGAAAATAACAATTGTATGCAATAAATAAAAGTTAAATAATAATGGATCAACCAGTGTGGACGATCGATTGATTCGAATACTCGTGACTTTGCAAATGAAACATTTTGTGATTATTTAAGTGTTGGTTTGTGACGATTTGGTTGTTTGCAGGTTTTCATCATGAGCTGACAGTAGTTAGAGAACCATTGGAAAACCTGCCAGGCAGTACTCGACAGGTGTTGTGATAACTTTGTAATTACTTTCAGTTGAAATCCACTCTTTAGTCACTTTCGGCTACTGACTGTGAATTAAGTGTTAATTTGATTTATTTTGATAATTTCGCAGCCCGCATACTGTCGCACAGTGAGATGATATCGTCTGCATGCATACTCGAGGTCAAAAAAGTCTATCTCCAGGTAGCAGATCTACACCACCTATACACACACATCCTTCAGAGCTGACTCCAGAATGTCATCGATGGCAAAGTTAAAGAGAAATGGAGAGATAGGGCAACCCTGTCTAACCCCACTGTTTGGTGTTGGGAACAGTGATGATAGTTGGTTGTATGCCCTCACTCTACCTGAGTAGGTGCTTCTGTATAGGGCTTTCAATATGTTAACAAATTTCCCAGGTACACCTCTCTCTAACAGACAGTTCCAGAGCAAAGTTCTCTCCAACGAATCGAAGGCAGCTCTAATATGAAGAAACACAACGATCGTTGGCCTGCAATACGTATGGCGGTGTTCCAGCAACTGACGAAGGGTGAACACATGATCAGTGCATCCACGACCTGAACGAAACCCAGCCTGCTCTTCGCGAATCAATCCCCTACGTATTTTGCACAGCCTGTGAAGCAAGACAGCAGTCAATATTTTAGACGCGACTGGTAGCAGACTGATACCCCTATGGTTGTCGCACAAATTATGTCTACTTTTTTAAAGATAGGGACGATCATGGCTTCGTTCCAAATTGATGGTACACTCTCTGTCTCCCATACCTTCCTGAACAACCCGGTTAGAGCCATTATGAGAGTCTCACCACCATCTTTAAAAAGAGCCGGGGGTAAATTGTATGGGCCAGGCGCCTTATGGCGTTTCAGCACTAGGAGTTCCTTACGGATCTCCGCCTCAGTGGGTGGGTCGGTACTAATCGACCAAGAAGCACTGGGGCTACTGACAGTAGACACTGAAGCTGTTGGCCAGCTAGACTGTTTCCCGAAGTGCTCTGCCCAGCGTTCCAGCCGTCTTTTCAAGCTGGTAATTGGTGTGCCATCTGCCCCACAGACCGTCTCGCTGACACCTTGTTTCATGCTGCCAGTGGCTCGGATGAGTTGGAACAGCTTCCGACTGTTGTCAGATGCAGCAGCTGACTCCATCTCACGCTCACGTTTTGACCACCGGGCTTCGCGGTCCTTACGTAAACACTGTCTAATCTTGCGCGTGAGAGCCTTTCGCTTATTGTTGTATTCGCTGCCAGCCGGAATGGCCCGGCGTTCATCCAGGAGTTGCAAGGAACTCGCAAAAACCCAATGGTTTTCAGCGGAGCATTCTTTCAGGCCACAAGAGGCTACACTCGCCCTTTGCATGGCACCTTGCACATGAAGCCAATGTTCATCTTAACTACTTGGAGAGTTGCTGGCAAGCATTGATTGTAACTCATTCTGGTATTTCAAAGAAGAAGCAGGTGCTACTAGTTCGCTCATATAAACGTTTAGACGACGGCTTTTATGAACGCCACCAAATCGCATGACGAACTTGGTACACACTAACGCATGATCGGAGTCCAGGCATGTGCCCCAGAAGGAGCGACAGTCTTGTATGCATCCTCGCCACCGAAAACTGACAGCAATATGATCAATCTGAGTCCAAGCTTGATTCGCAGAGGGAGGACGCCAGGCAGCGCTACGTCGATGGCTGTGCCGGAAGGTGGTGTTGGCTAGAAATAGGTTGCGATCCGCGGTCCCCATTATCTGACCTGCGACGATGTAGGCCCTACTGACAACCTAGACGATTCTCCTCTGAGCTTAGACGCCCGACCTGTGCAATCGAGTCCCCAGCCAGCACTACAATATCCCTCCCACCTGTCCATTTCAAGAGATCGCTCAGTTGGTAGTAGAACTCATCCTTCATTGCATCCGGGCTGCAATCCGTCGGTGCATAGGCAGAGAAAACAAATAGACACCGCCTATCTTGCCTACTACTCCTTACTTTCGTATAACCTTCCAGCCTCACAGCACATAAACGACTGTTAATGGGAATCCAGTCGAGCAGTGCAGCTTCGGCTCTAGCGCTCAGTGCGACACCGACACCAGCTACGCCGGATGCCGACACCACAGGGTCCCCGGATAAGCGCAGGTGGTACATACTACTAGAACTTCTAGATGGAGAGAATAGTTGAAGCACTTCACTGGGACCTCGAATGCGACTCTCCGAAATGTAGCAGACATCGACAGCGAGACTTCCCGAAATTCTTACCAACCCTGCCTGTTGTCCAATTCGCATCAGCGTCGGAACATTGTAGGTGGCCAGCTTGAACGCGACACACGGTTTCAGGATATTTGTGTTAGATGTCACATTGAAGACAACCATTTTGATGGTTACTCACTAACACCTCGAAACAACACGAATAGGCTAGGAACTCAGGCAAAGGCGAAAGGCTGTCGAAGGTTAACAAGTCAAGGTTAGCAAAGGTGAAATACAAGAATCTAAGCATAAAAATAAAAGTAAGGTTGGAAGGACATAAGTTGTTTGAGGGATCATTATTGCTTGAAATCATTTTTACTAGCGCACGATGAATCAAATACTGCCCGGGCGCCCAGACTGAAGCAGGTGGTTTTCTTAAGAGACCACCCTCCGAGCCTTAGACTTGGAGTCTTATCCGCAAGGCAGCGAAGCAGCGTCAGGAGCTGCATTCCCATGGTTTCCGGTGTCCCGTATGGGTTCATACACCATATGGTCCAAATGGATTCTGGAGCCTATGTATCCCATGGTAACTGCTTACAGTCTAACCGCTATCCGAACAACCTTCCTAACATGGTAGAACCTGCCCGGACATGAGTACCACCCAGTCTAGCTTGTGGGGTCACTGCGGTATTCAAGCCTGACCACCACGGCAAGGTAGCTCTTGTCGGCCAGGTAAAGCAGGCGAACACCTCATCCCGGCGGGACTCGAACCCGCAACCACCGGAATAGAAGTCCGACGCGCTATCCATTGCGCCACAGGGACCGCCGCGCAATAGGGAACGCAAACATATGGAACGCTTCAGGATTTTGCCTGTCATCCTTGAGCAGGAGTCATGCTAATCTTCTCTGTATCATTCCAATTTTAGTATATGTACCACCGAAGCGAGTACGCTGTTTCTTGAATGTCAGACCACCTATATGTTAACTGTATCCACCTACGCAAAGTTTTTTTCCCCATTTTTTCACTACCAATATTGGGGACATAAACATTTACGTAAATTACTGTCCACTAATTTTGGCTAACAACTAGCTCTCACCACAATATTACTGTGCAACACTGTGTGATTTATCAAAATAAAATCTTATCCATTATGAATTTATGCCCTACCACAGTGCCCAAGTTTTATACTTATATCCATATTATAAGTAACTAGCAGTGGATTCATTGAGAACGATTTTAGCCGTGTCACCAATATAATCTTGAGGCTTCATTGGTTTTTACCACCCGATTGACTCGTACCAGTCAGGCGTTTCACACCTTCCTAACTGGTCTGTCTGTGTGCTTCAAAATGACGAGAGGATAAATTTACCTGTCTCATTCATGACATAAATGTCCTTGATTTCACACTGTATATCCATGAATAATTTCATTCGTAAAATTTTCTGTAAACAGGTGTATGCTGAAAATATTGCGCCAAAGTATTACGAAAATGCGTATAAACTGGGAGTATCCCCAACCGAGGAGAGCAAGTTGCAAGCTGCTTTTGAATCGCACACACGTTTGTGTCATGTACGTTTTCCTTTAACCTTGTAACATATTGACAATAAAATTTCATATGGAATGTGAATTTCAGCTGGTAGTATATACTCATGTATACTCGAATAAACTGCAGGTTGTTTTGCTCGAAAAACAGAAGTATGATGAGTATCTCAACTCATTACGAAGCAAATAAATTGGATGCGTTATCAGAAGACAGAGACTATCTGCAAAATGTGATGTGATGTATTTGCGCTATACATTTCGAACAATCTGATCCCTTACACATTCGCTTGTCAAGTCGATATATATGAAAAAATTTAAATTAAACAAAGTGACAAAAAAAAGATGTAAGAATGATTAACACAACGTTTTCTGTCCCATTAAACAATATTTCAGACTTTGCAGTTGACTGTCAGTTTGAAAATTTGTATGATCAGTTGAGTTCTCTAACTCCTTCATCGACAGGTAGCCAAAGTCAGTTGAAAGTTAAATTTGTAGATGTAGCCCACACCAATTCCGTAATTCAAGTTGGAAACAAAGAAGCATCTTAAGATCAACTCATTTTAAAGCCCTAAAGGAATTACGTAGTAGATCCGATTTAGTTATTTTGAAACCTGACAAAGGATCTGGTGTAGTTGTAATGGACAGAAATGATTATAAAACAAAAATGTTAGCCATGCTGATGTTCCTTCGGATGATATCAGAAAATTGGAAGGAAAAGTAACTTCTCACTTAGTAAAACCTCGTGGCATGGACGTTATCGATAAACAGGAGTTTAATTCCTTGAAACCCATGGGATCTGACTTTCCAAACCTCTATGGACTACCTAAAATTCATAAGGTTGACAATCCATGACGTCCAATTCTTTCAATGTGTAACTCTCCTACACATAAACTAGCAAAATCGTTAGCTGGTATTTTAAGTCCAGTACGCAACGAATTATGTAAGTTTACTTTGAAAGATACTTTTGAACTTGTTGACTGTCTTGTAGATATTACCATAAAAGATAGGAAAATGTATTCATTTGATGTGAATTCTTTGTTTACTAATGTACCATTGATTAAGACTGTTGATATTCTTTGTGACTATATTTCTTCTAGTTGTTTTTCATTCCCTTTCCCTTTAATTCATTTGAAAGATTTATTACTATAATGTACTGACAGCGTCCATTTTTTGGACACACTTCTGAGTCGAAGAAATGATGGTTCAATAAGGCGATCATCAGTCTACAGAAGGCCCACTTGGACAGGGTAGTACCTTAATTTTCACAGTTTCTGTCCATTACAGTATAAGAGAGGCTTGGTGAAATGTCCATTTATTAAGAGGATTCAACGTATTTGTACGGCTGACGTTGTAGACAAAGAAAACGAAATATTGATAGATACTCTTGATAGATACACGTGAGGGTGGGAGAGCATATCCCGAAATGGCCAGGAAAACAAATGAATTATGAGAAACCAATAGATGCATGTGGCAGACTACCAACTTCGTCTATAGCTAAACATCTAATCGAGATGAACCATAAGATTGATGTTAACTCAGCCTTCAAAGTCATCTATAAAAACGGTGAAGGGCGCTTATTGAAATACGCTGAGACTATAGCTATTCATAAACTTATTTGATTGGATTACCAAAGTTTGTGTTAATCATCCTTAAATCCTATTTTAGTCACTTTGTTTAATTCAGCTCTTTCATATATATAGACTTGACGAGTAAATGTATGAGGGATCAGATTGTTCGAAATGTGTAGCGCCAATACGTCACACCCCATTTTTCAGATAATCTCTTTCTTTTAATAACGCTATCCAAATTTATGAGAGACTAATTGTTTTACATTAACTGAAATTACTGTTTAGTCCTGAACGCTCTGGATTAAAGTCTGTTGGTATTCTATGCAATCTGACCACCAGACTAAGTCATATGACACTAAATGTGCGTTATCACACTGATCAGGATTTCAGATGAAAGGTTGTAGCTGTCAACAGACATGAGATTCGAGTTTTTGTTACTGACTATGTGAGCCTGTGCTATTTTCAATAAGTTCCTTCTAAAATTTAATTTGCTGGAAAGCAAATTGATACCTGGCTTTCCGAGGTGGAAAGAAGAATAAAGATAACAAAACAAAACCAAGTGTAGATTGTTGAATTTGATCAGTGTGTAAAATTATAAAATCAGCAACGTGTGTTTACATAATGAGATTGCTTATCACATTCATGTTGATTTTGTTATTTCATGGGGGATAGGAGGAGGTGTTGTAACCAGGTCAGATTCTGATTTAGTCCATCATTCCTATACAGGCAATTTGGATTCCCTCTGATGATATCAAGTGTTTTGTATTTTACACTGGTTGGCGATATTAGGTGTTCTTTGTGATTACTGAGATAATCCAGAAAAAGCAATTCAGAAATCACAAAGAACGTCTCACATCATCAGAAGCACTTCATATCATCAGAGGGAATCCAAATTGCCTGTATAGGAATGATGGACTAAATCAGAATCTGACCTGGTTACAACACCTCACTCCCATCCCCAGTGAAGTAACAAAATCAACACGAATGTGATAAGCAATCTCATTATGTAAACACACGTTGCTGATTTTATAATTTTACACAGTGATCAAGTTCAACAATCTATACTTGGTTTTGTTTTGTTATCTTTACCAATTGACCAACTTGGCAACGAAAAATGACGCCATACTGAGGAACGATGATTAAGTTGTTATATATAGGCTGAGGAGATTTTGTAAATTCTGGTTCAATACTACAACTTTAATAAAGCAACTATAAGCAGCAGCATTAAATAGCGAAACATCAATAAAAACGACAATATCGTTTTGTTTTTCATTTATTGGCAAATATGAAAAGAAAACCTTTATTGTAATGAATATCATATACCCAAAGCTCAAATTTTTTCAAACTGATAAAAGTGAAATTGGTTTGGACATAAACAATCTACTCACAGAACGCTTGTATCCACAAGTAGATAGATGGTAAAGGGAGTTGATATCTCTTAGCATTTTAATGCATTGTGAGAGAAAATTAGCCTGGAATACATGAGTCGATCAGTTTATTTATTTATTCCATGTATGCTGACAATGAAGAATATTCAGTCACTGTGAATCAAGTGAAGCGATCGTACCACACCATATTCACACCACCAACAACAGACAACAATCAGACAGCCAGCATAAATGGGAGGAACCTGAAAGAAACAACCTCCTTCACTCACTCACCTACCGGGAAAGCATCGTTTCAACTACAGGCAAATGGAATTGACGAGGATATCAAAGCGGCGAGGATCGGGAAAGCAATACAAGCTTTCATTACTCTCAAATGTGTGTGGAGGTCAACACTCAGCACTCAGCGTGAAAATGAAAATAAGGTCCGGATTTTCAACTCAAATGTGAAGTCAGTGCTACTTGCTATGCGGATCAGAGACTTGGCGCGCCACGAAATACATATCGAACAAACTACAGACCTTCATCAGCAGCTGTCCCCGCTCAATACCACTCAAGATCAAATGGCTGGCCAGAAAAGATCAAAAACAGGGATCTGTGGGCACGAACCAACCAGGAACCGATTGTGTAACAAATAAACAGGAAGAAATGGAGGTGAATTGGCTGACCATACTCTGAGAAAACAAACCATCAAGTGACATCACACGACAGGCCATCGCTCGAGTGGAACCCGACTGAATGGGAAGCGGCGAATTGGTCATCAGTGCAAGGTTGACTTGGAGGAGGTCATATGAAGAGGAGATGAGAGCATGTGGGCAGACTTGGAGCCAGGTGAAAACTTTAGCAGAGGAGAGAACGCAATGGAACGGAGCAGGTGAAGCCCTGTGTTCCTCTGGGCATTAAAGCAAATAATATTAATATTCACACCAAATATTACAGAAATATAAAAGTGAATTGCGAACAACAGAAAACACCGTGATGTGGTGGTGTCTTCTCTTAAAAATCTTCGTGCAAACCTATTCTGAAATGATAGTGAAGTAAGAGATTTCGTTTCATTGCATTCATTGATAAGCTGTTCATTCTTCTATGAAGGTAACATGACTTGTTTTCATCAATGTACCTGATAATTTTACAGAATCTGTATGTTGCAAGGAAATCCGACATAACTGCATATTATAAACAAGTTAAAATGAGGGAATTGAATACAATCTGTCCATTGGTAAGTAGATACAGCCGCCAATTTATACATTTTTTTCACAAAATTTCATTGTAAATACTTCGATTTTTCTATACTTCACCATGGTAGCTCAACAGGGAATAACATCCTACTTTAATGCAAGACGAACAGTACTTATAATGCAGAATGGAATTCTCAGCATTTGTCACAACACCTTGCATCTGATTTACTCAAAATATAAATAAAATTAAAAACAAAGTTAACCAGAGGAATTTGTCCACGTTCACTATATAAAGTCGAAAATATTTGAAATACAAACTAAGAATATTATATTATTAATAATAGTGAGTTTGTTTCAAACAGTATTGTATATTCAATTTGGAAATTTTAGCATGTCACTGTAGATTATTGAATCTAATGTTCTGTTGATATACCAGCATGGTGAGGGGAAATACAAAACTAACACAGCTTAAATGATGTTCACACTTATGAAAAATAAACAAATAAAAACAGAAAAATGGAGAGAATTGTAAATATAAGAAGTACAATAACAATAAAGGTTGATACTGTAAGGGTGGAGGAAATGGTTTATTTAATAGTACAAAGGAGGTTAGTTGGTTAGTTCATGCCTGACACTATTTTCATCATATAAAGTACGTGTAGTGAAATATGGTATAGAGGGATTTCTATACTTAGACGTACGTGCATAAAGGCTTCTGAAAAGACTTCTTGTTTTACCTGAGGAGGTGACAAAAGGTTGGAGCTGCGGGTGCTGCGGTGGATGCTCAAAGTCTGACAAAATTCCTTCGGCGAATTTGTTGCATGACATCAGGTGCCTATCAATCACTATGGCAACGATATAGCCCAATGTGATAGCAGCCACTAGTCCTACGAAGTATGACATAGTCTTTCTTTTAAGCAATCCAGGAAAGAATAAGTAAGGGTGAACAGTAAAGAAGAATAGGTAAGATGCACGAGTTGACAAACTGTAAGATTATTATTAGGTAGGAATGTCATGGATGAGGTCATCTGTAGACAGAATTATTGAAATAAATATAGTGAATTTCTGAGTCTGTCTCATGAGAGATTAAATACCTGAAAGGCACATATAGAAACGCATTCATTTTACAAACTGTATAGACCTGTAGCATCAGATGAACTAAATACGATGAATGTGGATATCAAATTGAACCGAGTGAATAGTGAACTGAGATTCGTGCAGCTAGTGTAACCTTCTTATACTGACTGATGTGTCTAGTAACATTTATGTGATAAAGTGTGCGTGATTCAGTACAGAATCCACATGAATGAAGCATGCAAAGCGATGAAGTACTCCAACTAGAGGGATTTCAGATTTATTCGAGCTCGGGTCAACTATAAATGCTGACTATCTAGTTCTAAGGGAATTATAAACAGCAGATAGACTGGCCAGAAATGTTAGATGACATGTGTGTGTGTGGTGTGTGGTGTCAAGCTACTTAAATCAGCCAGTGGGATGTGTCAACTTGCGATTTCGCTTTCTTCATTTATTTGCGCCTGTAACGGTGTCACGCAGGTGACATATTTTGATTTGAGGATTCTAGATTATGTGATTCTGAGGAATTCCAGCTCATTTCAACACATTTCAATATTTTAAATGACTTCAGACAGAAGGTAGTGCCTTCAGTGAAAGAAACCAAATTAATTCTGACTGAGAACTGAAAACAGACAAGTCAATGTTAGGACAGAATGCATCATGGAATCAGTCTAAAAATTTCCTGCATTTACTAGTCACATAGTTGGTTGGTGGGAAATCCCTCAGGGGTACGAGGAATTTCAGTCAACTGTTAAGATCAGTATTGTTTGAAAGTAAAAGAGAAATGGATCTGCAAAAATCCAGATCAGTAAATGAAGTTTGTAATCTGGCAAACGGTGAATAGTCGTTTCTTAAATCTTGTAGCATCATTATTCTTGTCTAAACTGATAAGGAAATCTGTTTAGAGGAATTTCAACTCAAAAGCCGTCTGTTTGTGAACACTGTTCTCTTTGAATAGTACCACCATCATCTACAAAAGAAGTTGTAACAACTGAGAAAAACACTAAATTGGCCAAAGTGGACGTCCCCTTCGTCTTCGTATCCACGAACATAAGCTAACCGTCAAAAGACATGATATCCACTCCACCACTCATATCACTACACACAGACAACCACGGACATCAATTCGACTGGGATAACCAACGTTCAAATATTAGACAGAGGAAACACAAAGAATCCTTGAGAATTTTTAGAAGCCTGCCTGGTATTCCAGTGAATCATCAATCAATAGACACATCGACATAGACGAAATTTATCAACCGATAAGAAAGAAACCTAACAAATACAAAGAGTCAAAGTTCAAGTCAAAGAAACAATCAGTTCCAATACAAGTAGCTGCCTAGAGGGTGTGAAAACACACAATCAATCACGACGTTGAAGGTCACCCACTAGGAGAGATGATCACTAAACTGGTGGAGAAATCTAAAAGCTCACTTCAATGAATTGAAGTATGTGCTGCAGATGTTGCCTAGTAGGGGCGATGAAAGCTTCGCAAATTAACTATCCAGCTAGCTCAGAGAACATAACCACATCAAAACCATTAACCTGAGCTACAAATCTCTCTATCATATCTTTGAATATTTCCCAGAACACTGTCAGATCAGAAGCATAGTTTACCAATTAAACAAAATAAACTATGTATTCTAAAATCAGTCCTAGACTAAAGAAACCCTAATTTCAGTTTCCCTGTGTGACTTAATACTGTTTCAAATTATATTAGGTAATCAATAGTCTGTCACATTTCACATCACTCTCATCAATTCCACCGAATTCATTAATCATTTTACTTTTCTGTACATTCATGTTAAGATGAATTGGAAAAAGTTGTTTGAAAGATTATTTCGACAAATTGGATTCAAAAATTACAGAACATTCAAAATCAGTATAGCGGACACAACAGCGTTAAAATATCATTGCGCCTTACATGAAATTGAACTGTCAACACCTACTGGTAAAAGGTAAGCTTCATACTTATTAGTTCCACTGAATAAGACTGAAGAAATACTTTTTTTATAAAGACATGCTTTGGTGGATACAAACAATGTGACTTTTTCACTTACTGAAAAGTTCATTAAAATTTGTATTTTGTTCAGTTTGAACACGGTCAATATTTCACAGATGAAGTGGACTCTTATGTTCAAATATTTCATTATAATATTGGTCAGGGACTATTTCATTTAGAGAAGCATAGAAAACCTGAGAGTATTAGACAGCTGTTTTGCTCTGGTTGGTTTGTTCTATCCCTCGACTGTTACCTTCATTAAGAAGGTAACCTCAACACTTTCAGAATGTACACATCCATGTGTCTAATTTGTTTGGTACTGTGACAATAGTCTGATGCAATCAATTTTGTTGAATGTAAATTTCCCAATTCACTTTTTTCCGGAAACTATGCTGGCTTCATTTTGTACAGCAGACGTTTTAATTTTAAAATGTATTTTGTTCACAAATATACACTAGCAGTACGAAACGTTGTATTATCACATGAAACGTCAATTCCGATGAATGAATGAATCACAGATAAATACGACTGGACAAAATCATGCCGACTTGATATTTTCTGCATTATTCCAGGGTGTTCGACTAGTTTCCTACCACATACCGACAATTCGAGATTTTGTTGATTTCGTGACTCAGTTTTGCTGCTGTTCAAATAAATAAGCATACGATATGGAGCTATACGCAGTAGCTTCATACGGTTTACAACTGAAACTAAATGACAACACTTACTTTTATTTCTTTTCTACAGTACAATTAAGAATATGGCTATCATGGACTTTATGACATATCACGTTAACACTATTGGGCTTGAGTGAACAGTTCAGAAAGTGTGAATTCTGAGATGGACTCAGGTACGTCATAACTATTGTTTTCGTCTGATGATAAGTGAAATAAATCGTGCTTTCAGTGAGGATTTGATTTATTCCAACATTGATTTATGTACACTCACTCTTGCGCGTGAACCGCTTGAAGTTTTTGATAAGTTTGTGTATCTGGGTAGTTGTGTGAGTGCTGGCGGAGGGGTGACAGATGAGATTTCCAACCGTATAATGAAGTCTAGGGTGGCATACATGAATTTGAGCTACCTCTGGCGCCGTCGCGACGTTAGCCTGGTGTCAAAGGTCAGGTATACAATGCTTCGATGTGAGCTGTCTTTCTCTACGCCAAGCCGGTGAAACCTGGCCTCTCCGAGTAGGCTAAGGATGATCGGCGACCCTGCGTGTTCGATCATCGCTGTCTCCACAGGACTGCTTGTGTTCGATTGCATCATCGTGTGAGTAATTTTGAGGTTCGGTGGCGTGTGTTTGAACACAGTGGAGATCACCATTCATTGAGTGTCGTCATCTGGAAACACCGGCTCCGGTGGGTTGGATATGTGCTGGGAATGTCATCCCAGAGGCTGCTTCCGTACAGGTCTCTGTTCGCTGGCCAGCCGCGGGACGGGATGAAAAAGCCGGAGAGGTGCTGAGTCCATGACATGGCGTCGTGGAATGAAGGATTTTTGTGCTAGATTAGCATCGTTTGGTGTGTTACCACTCCCTGGTTGGGGTCCGAAAGATAGATCTAATCGATGGCTCGAAACGTTATCGGATATGGCTAAGTATCGCGATCAATGGCAAACGTGTTGGAACTTCCTCCTTTCTTCCCTTCCCGATGATAGTTAAGGAATACTGTTTGAGCCTGTTAAGCATGACTGTTTTCCTTCCAGATGAAGTTCTTTATCCGTTCTCTACTTATATTTTCTCTTATTTTCTTTTCTTTACTTTTGATCTATGTTGTTTTATTTTTATTGTGTGGCGCATCTTTCTTGGTGCCACATTGCACCGAGTGTTTTCTGCGTCCAAATAAATAAAACATGTGGTGGTCGGAGTCGATGGCGCATGCGTGATATCTTACTGACTCGTTTGTTGAAAATCATTCGTCTAACCTGTTTCAATTTGGTGTATGTTTTCAAAACATTTCTGTGTCTTGTTTATTCTGATTAAAGGTTTGAGTCCGAAATTCTCAGTATTTTGTATCGAACAACTGAAAGAAACATTTCCATGGACTCTTGAAAGACATTACGTTGCTCAGTACTTGAAAGAAAGTCAACGAAATGAGGTTCGTCCAGTAATTCATATTTAGTTCGATTGTCTTGTCTGTATAAGTCAGAGTTTTTGAAATTATTTTCCCACGTGAACCGAAAGCATCATGACAGCCAGTACTTATAACAAGTACAAGGAAATGTGATCATTTCTGTCCATAAATATTATAAGAAATAAGCTTACTGTTTCAAATTTACCCTCATTATTTATTTAGTGTTATTTGGTGTTGGGAAACGGGCATAAAATGGACCCCCAGGAAAACCTGGAGTATCTGGACTTCGCCGATTTTACATGTTTCATTCCTCACAAGCTGGAAGATATGAAGGTGAAAAGCAACAAGTTCGCAGAAGAAGCGTCAAAGATAGAACTTCACTTCAGGTGAACATAGAGAAAACAGAGGTGATAGAGATTCCTGGCCAACATCAACGGTCACAGCAAGAAAAACAACAGACAACAATCAGCCAGGATAAATGGGAGGAACCTGATAGAAACAGCCTCATTTACTTACCTAACTACCTACCTGTGAAACATCGTTTTAACTACGCAAGGATGGAACTGATGAGGATATCAAAGCAGCGTGGGTCGTAAAAGCAAGACAAGCTTTCATTACTCTCAAGTCTGTGTGGAGGTAAACACTCAGCACTCAGAATGAAAATGAAAATAAGATCCGGATTTTGAACTCGATGTGAAGTCAGTGCCACTCACTGGACGGATCAGAGACTTGACCAGCGCGTCATGAAGAGCAACTCAAATAAACTACAGATCTTCACCAACAGCTGTCTTCGCTCAATACTTCGCTCAAGATCAAATGGACAGGCAGAAAATATCAGCAACAGGGATCTCTATCAAGGGGTGAAACAACCAGGATTCGATTGTGCAGCAAATAGACAGGAAGAAATGAAGATGGATTGGCTGGCCATACTCTGAGGAAACAAACCATCAATTGACATCACTAGACGAGCCATCGCTCGAGTGCAACCCGACTGAATGGGAAGCGGCGACTTGGTCGTCATTGCAAGGGTGACTTGAAGGAGGCCATGTGAAGAGGAGATGAGATCGTGTGGGTAGACCTGGAGCCTGGTGAAAAAGCTGGCGGAGAATTGAACGCAATGGAGATGTTCAGCCGAAGCCCTATGTTCCTCTGGAAATTAAAGGAAATTTTTTCCCTCACGTTCCCCAGTGGAACATAGGGCTTCAGGCTAGTTGCTTGAAGTTTATGTGACAGTATTTATTTTACAGGGTGGGGTTGCTAGCCTCATGCCCAACCTTCCCTATCTACCAGCTTTACTACTGGCTTAGCGGGGTCAAGGAGTGCGTCGGCCGGGGATTGAACCCCGGACCATGTGGATGGTCGGCGAGCGTCTGAAATTAAAGGAAATAATATTTATAAAGATAATCGATGGTGGGAAAGTCATCTAAGGCTCTGAAGTGACGGCAGGAGTAGGATAGAGCTAACTATTATCACACTTTATATTCCTAACGGCGGTACAATGTATTGTGCATCAAACTGTGAGTGAGGAGCGGCAAGACAGGAGTCCGTAAGGCAGGTTAAAAGACTTAAGAAGATTACGACTTCTCGGATGTCTTAAGTCCAAAGTCACATGAACTACAAGCTCTACAGGAGAAAACCAGCTAACCGGTAGAACAAGCATGAAAAATTGACTTCAAGTGGACATACGGAATACGAAGGAGATGAAGACCATCAACTGACGACAACAACTGGCACGAACCAGAATGGACGAGAGAAATTTGAGAGAGTTCAATCCCTTAAACGTATCTAAGAAGCACTGTGTTTAAAGATAGTCGGAACAGATGAAGATATCTGAGCGAAAAACGGGAAGGTAAAGCACACCACCATCTTCGTTCTGAAATCAGTTTGGAAGTCTTCTGCACTTTGGAGCATGAAGAACGAAATTCGAATTTTCAATAAAAACACCAAGTTAGTCCTTCTAAATGGGTCAGAGACTTGCACTATTCGTCACGAATAAAATTTACAACAGGTTACTGCAGACTTACATCAACAGCTGCATTCACCGGCTTCATATTTAATAATGATAATGATAATAATTTACTTCATTCTAAAACAGTACTTGTGATACAGAATGGAATTCTCACCATTTCGCTACAGTATTGCCTCCAGTTTGTACATTAACAATAAATAAATCTCTACACAGATTAAGTGTAATCTTAATTAGTTTTGACAACAACATATTGGCATGTCGGTAGCAAGCCAAAATTGAACAGTTTTTGAACGTGTTAGAAAAGTGGATACTAGAATATTTACTGGCGTAAGCGTTAACAAAACGGTCGAGATATACAGAGTGTGAAAGAACGAAGAATGTTTTAAGTAGAGTTTGTGAGGAAGAGAGAAACAAAACAGCACATAACAAAAACAGGAGAGAGGGAGAAGAGGAAAAGAAAGCAAGAAAACGTTGTAGCTATAAATGATGTGAGTTGGAAAGACGAGATCCAGTTGTTCTACTGACTATTTAATTAGTTATAAGTTTCACGCCTAATGCTTTCTTTATCGCACAGAACACGAACGAGCCAATTAGGGTATGGTTGAGTTTTTGTACTTGCTAATGCGGGCATATCGTTTTCTATATAGGCTCCTGGTTCAGGCTGATGAGATACAAGGGGAGAGGGTGGTGAGAGCTATGTAAAATGGATTTAGGCCATTTTTCACATGAGTCCATGTACCTGCCGACTAGAATATTAACAAGGCAGTTGAGTGGCACACTGCTTACCCTGCTGACAACTTTTAACATCCTGCGTAATGAGATATAGTCTTTCTTCAGCAGCCCTGGATAAACTAAGGGGGAGAATAATGGACAGGATCCAAGAGTTAACGAATCAAGAGTAAGGGTTGGATTGGGTTATTCCAGAATGTCTTAACTTCTTGATGTAGAAGGTAAGACGGAATATTTTCTTAGAAATCATCAAGATATGACACGACAGAAAACATCAGCAGATAGTATGACACCAAGATATTTAATTTACGACCTGAATCATGTTTCAGTGCCGTCTATGTTGCACACCTCGTGAGTTCTAACCAGTTTGTTTAGGTCAGATTTATGTCTAAAGGTCAAATTGACTGTTTGACATCTAGAGGGTTTTAAGGTAAGACCGTTTTCTTTGGACCACTGGCTGATTTCTGATAAAAATCCATTTAGTTTGAAGCATTTACTTTGTTATTTGATAGGCAAAGATACAGTCAGATCGTCAGCATATTTAACAAAATTAATGTCATTTGAAGATGGTAGGTCGTGTAGAAAGAAAGAAAAGAGAAGTGGAGAGAGTACAGCACAGCAGAAGAGGATTTACCTTAGTATACAGTGTACCGCATTCTGTTTGAGAAATAAGAATGCAACCAGTTAGTGACCCAGGACTCAGTTTGTGTCATAGAGAGCTTATTTAGCAAGAGACATCTAGGAACAGAGTCCAAAGCAGAAGTGAAGTTGAGAAACGTGCAACGAACGTAATTCTATGCTACCCTAATTATGCTTTCTTTCTCATTTCAAAAACCGCAGGTTTTCAATATGGTCGATGAAATCAAGAAGACTGTGAATGATTCATTCGAAAAGCTGACATGGTTGAATGACGGAATGAAGCGCTTCGTGATTGACAAGGTTTGAATTTATTTGACTGAAATTGTATATTTAGTAATTTCTACAATAATGAACTTACAGATTTCGAAGATAAAAACCTTCGCTTTGTTCGATGGTCTGGAAACATACGAAGAGAAAGAAAATCTATCTACTATATATCGAGTAAGTCAGACGAGACGGTTGTCATTCTTCTACCACATTTTATTGAAAAGAGCTATTCTCAATAAGCAGATCGCAGTGCAGTGGAACACGCATTTTACTGAGAAACATTTAATTAACGGTAGAGTTTATTTCATCAGTAAACTATCTCAAATATATTGAGTTTGACATGAACTGTTTAAGTGCATTTTGAAAGTCTAGTGGAGCAGTGTTTCCCCAAACTAGAAATTGTGTAGCTAACAAACTTACGATCTCTGACGGAATAAAGCATGTACACTTGAAATTTCTTCACAACCGTGATAATAAGAGTGTTTCACTGAAGGTGTAATTTAAAGAAATCATTTCGCTTTATGAATTTCGATAACACAATAAGAAGACGTGGCTTATCTGAAACGTGTAATGTATCGATGCAACACATTTCGGATATTCTGATCACACACATGAGTGCTTGTCATACACAGTTTTATAGAAGGCAAGAAAGCATGAATAATAACAATACAGGTCAGATTGTGTACAGGTCAAGGTCACAAATAATGGGTGGGGAGACTCGAAGGTGTGGGTTAGGAAGACAAGAAGAGAAAAAACAAGACCGAGAAAGGGTTGAAAATATTATGAAGTAAATTGGTCCTTGGTTCTAAACCAACAGATCCCATAGAAATCCTGAGCCAGATCACCAGGGTACAAGACTGTATATCGCTAGCATACGTTAAAGAGAACAATGAATGCCTGCCATTTTTAAATGTAATAATAACCCGCCGAGAAGATGGGTCAGTAAAACGATCTGTCTACAGAAAGTCCATATGGACGGAACAGTATCTTAAGTATCCACTATGGTATAAAAACCGTTGATGAAGTGTTTGTTCAAGCGCATTCACCGAATATGTACTGCCGATACAATTGAAGAAGATAGACAACACCTCACTGAAATATTGTTAGATAACAACTACCCACAGAGATTTATTAAGCGTTACGGAAATGTCAAACATAGAGCTCTACCAATCCAATCAGCTCCCTGCCATTCAGAGGTGATTAACAAAGTCTGGTCACTAGACAAAGACTCAGGGATGCAATTAATAGGACTTATTATGCAGCTAAACTTATCTTCATAGATAAAACGAAAACTATGCTGTCCTGTAAACCCTCACATTATCAGAACGATAGTGTCACATCCCACTGCGTTTATCAATTTACATGTATGTGTGTAGACACGTACATAGGGAGGACCCATTGATCTCTGCAGGTAAGGGCTACAGAACACATTCCAAAGTGGCTGCAACAACAAATGAAACCGCCAGACACAATTGATCCCGGCAATAGATGTCCAACATCATCTGTAGCGAAGCATATTGTAGAGACGGGTCATAAGATTGATTTCAGCAATCCCTTTAAGCCGATATATAAAACAAGGTTGGGCCACATACTTAAATTTGTTGAAGTCTTAGCCATAAAAAGACTTAAACCGGTCTTATGTGTCCGAAAGCCATTTGTTATCACCCTAAATCTGCCTTGGTAATCCAATTTAGAACCAAGGACCAATTTACTTCATAATATTTTCAACCCTTTCTCTGTCTTGTTTTTTCTCTTCTTGTCTTCCTAACCCACACCTTCGAGTCTCCCCACCCATTATTTGTGACCTTGACCTGTACACAATCTGACCTGTATTGTTATTATTCATGCTTTCTTGCCTTCTATAAAACTGTGTATGACAAGCACTCATGTGTGTGATCAGAATATACGAAATGTGTGTGTCGGTGTCACAGTGGTTAGGACTCTTGTCGACCATGAATATGATCCAAGGTTCGAATCCCTACCGACGCATCATAAAGAGCACCTCAAACAAACTTCAGACCTTCATTAACAGTTGTCTTCGCTCAATAGTATACAACATCAGATGGCCAGACAAATCGCCAGCAGAGATCTGTGGCAATAAGCGAACCAACGAGTAACCGATTTTGCAACAAATACATTGGAAGAATTGGAAGTGGATTGGCTGGCCATACTCTGAGGAAACCATCAAGTGATATCACTAGACGAGCCATCGCTCGAGTGGAAATCTAAATGGAAGCGGTGAGTTGGTCGTCCGAGTGTGGGTTGACTTAGAGGAGGCCATGTGAAGAGGAGATGAAAGCATGTCGGCAGGTTTGATGCAAAGTGAAAACGTTAACAGAGAACAGAATGAGATAGAGACGCGCGGTGAATGCTCTGTGTTCCTCTAGGAATTGAAGGAAATAATAATAATAAGTAAGACCAGAAGGTTTGGTTAGCACACTGTATATGCTTCCTCTCCGTCTTAATCCGTAGACACTTGAATACCCGTAAATCATATTCTCACAAGTTTTTATCACAGATCACATTCACATTTCATTGTTTTATCTTACTCTTCCAAACAGCTACAGTATCCGATTGATGAAAACACCTACATTATGAATGAATATTATGCACGCAGGGCAAAAGTCCTCGACGACTATCGAAAGGAAGTATTCGGTCTGGGAGAGAAGTAAGCTGTTAATATTTTTAGACACATAAGTGTGGCTGGAACATCTCCATTAGGCCTAATAAATGAAGAAGTTTTCAGTGAAAGTCACTCATTTTCAAGCTGTGCATTCGCATATATAAATATAAACAAATATATTACATTATGATAGCAATAAGAGAGAGGAATGTTTCCAAAGATTTACCGTCTTGATTGCAAAATTTCTGACGAAAATTGTGTTATACACAAAGCAATCATTGAGTAGAAATCTAAGCGAAATTCGATAGGTAAGCTGGGTGATGCTTCATAATCGAAGGGGTTTTAATACAACTTAAACAAAATTGCCGACGCCAAGTAAAACACCAAGTCAAGTTATCCTGAAGAGAGAGAGAGAGTAAAATATCCCCTGGATATGGAAATCCAACCAGAAGAGGCTGGATTCAGGCGAAGCACTAATGTGCGGATCAAAGTGCAACTCTAGGCAACATCATTGAACTGAGAACAAAGTGGCATTCAACTCTCATTCTAGGGCAACTTCTTTCAATTTGAATATGCCTTCAGCAGACAGCAATGGCTGTGAAACGATGTGGAAACCGCTTCAACACTGTGGCGTGCATGACCCTAGATATTATTCAGCCGTATTCAACAGCTGAATGACAATGCCGCTATAAGATCGTCCGAAACGGAGAACTAACCAAAGGCTCTGAATTGAAGGCAGAAGTAAGACAACACTGCCCAACAAACTCTCTAATTATATTCCTCATTGTAGCCAACTGGATTATGCGAGAGTCTGTGAGTGAGGAGCGGGAAGACATGAATCCTTTGGGCGAATAAGAAGACTCTAGAAGATCATGACTTCTCGGATGACTTATGTCGAACGTCACACGAAGTAGAAGTCGTACATGAGAAACATTAATTTTAAGCCAGTCAGTTCCTCTGCACAGGTGATACACCTGTCACTGATTTCCCGGAAAACATTTCCAACAGGCTACTAGAGACTTTCATCAACAGCTGGCTTCTCTGATTTCATACTGGAGAATAGATAGCTAGTCAGAAAGACTTAGAAGCACTAAGCACCGGGAACAAAATAACCATGAATCTAGTTGTCAGTAAAAATACGCTGTAAGGAAATGGAGGCGGATCGAATACACGAATGAGGAGACCATCGAATGACACCGTGCACTAAATCATCACTCAAGTGGATCCCGGAAGGGTCTCAGTTTGAAATGGAGCGGATTGTGTGAGGAAGAGATGAATTACTATGAACAATCATGGACGGGGTCAGCTGCAGAGTATTAGTTGGAACAGGACACTGGAGATCTGTTGTTGAATACTTATGTCCCACTTGGAACCAAGGGAAATATTTATAATGGCCAAAATTGAAATGGGGTTAAATTATCATCAGTCTTCTGAAGAGACGGATTGTATTATTGGAAATGTTGTGAGTATTTAAAATATGAACTACCATAGCTTCTGCAGTCTGTTCTTCTTTAGGACGATTTATGTGTACTCTGTAGATACGTCCGGGTTGGTTTGCACGCTCCAGAATATAGCTGTGGAGGGGGTCTACTTCTCCTTTTTGTATATGTAGGAAATATAACATTTTCAGATATTTAGATTGACATTTAAATAAACAATAGCTACGATTTTTACTAATCGGTAGTTTATAATGATTTCATGCTCAACGAAATATTGAAAAGTAAGAGTAGCCCAGATAATTCACGGGTAATTCACGATCATTTAAACAGTCCAGTCGACATAAGAGTGAAGCCTACATTTACGTCACATTCATCCAGCTTAAGCGATACAAGGTAAGAAAAGTCATGACATGGGTTATATCTGTAAAATACACAACACAATGAAAAGAAGTAACTGTTTATCATTTTAGCTAAGTTCTGAAGCTTCACATACTGTATATTTAATTGAATTTTTACATTTTCCCGTCGATTGATTGGACGGAAGTGCTCGGTCTCAGGTTGACATGTCGGCTTCTTGTGTAGGGAACATCATCAGTCATTGAGAAATGCAGGTACATCCAGCTGACGAGTCCCAAATAGGACGAAATGTGCATCCTGAATCCCACACTGCTAGTCACCATCCACCAATTAACTTCACATACTGTGTTTCTCATTCATTCACAGATATGTAGTTTGTTATTATGGAAGACCAGTGGAATTCGAGCCCATAAAATTTATCCGGCACTCCATCAAAGGACGTGTAAAATCCTCAGTGTTTCTCTCTGTTCTTCTTCTTTATAGCTACGATTCATTACTATTGAAAGTAGAGCATATATGAAGAACCTAACTGTGTTTAACGACCAACGAATGTTACGTCTTAATAAGAGAGTTTCAACGTTCTTTTGGACCACACTCATCAACTGTGCACCCAATTAGACACAACTCTGGGGGCGTAGTCATCCGAATACTGGCTGGCCACTTGCACCGACTGGTACCAAACAGATCACATATGATGGTGAGGACCACTTCGGTTTCTAAAGGGAAACTGCAGCGAAATCGAATCTGCAACTGCATAATTTTCCAAAAAACAGTGTCAAATGTCTTTTGTTAATTAAGAATTTGATCCTTGTAATATGTCGCTTGTCTCTTAAGTTCTTTTGTTAATTCGTCACTTCGTCAAAAACATTCAGAGAGCTGATGATTTCATTTTTTATATTTTCTATGCACAGATTGAATGCACAAAGAGCAACTTATATACCCTCAGCCTCTTATTGGCCCACTGAAAACCGCATAAATATTAATGGTGCCATGCTAAATCTACCGATTTACCGTGATAATCAAACTATTTCGGAAAAATATGGAGGATTGGGTTGGCGTATAGCTCATGAAATATTACACGCTGTTGATACATCCTGTACTAAACGAAGCAAAATGAGTTTTTTTAAAATTTTTAACGTACCTTTGTTGACATGTGTTAAACTGACAGACATTTTTTCAGGGAAAATAACCCAAGGTGGAAGAGAAAAATTAAGTCGTTTCCCTCATTCACAATGTGTTCGTATTTTTGTAACCTTGTTTCAGTGATATTGCAGTCATCATCTTCATCCCTTTACTAGCATCCATTCAATTTCCGAGTGTGACGTAAGGCTTTAAGTATGGTCTTTGAATTGTCAGAAACAGTTGCTTTAGAGAGTGGGGTTGCAAGAGTCACATCCAACCTTTCCTGCCTGACCGTCACTCTCCATCATATAGGCGAAGCGTAAGAGTGTGTTGGGGTCTGGGAATTGGACTTCCACCCCGAAGGTAGTTGACTAGCATTTTAACCCTGGACCACTGATATACCTTCGTTCGTACACTGACTCAGAACTAAAAGGGAGTTGAATTAGTTCACTGTGTAGCTTCACTGGAGACTTGAAGATTTCAATAGCTGGTCTCTGCATTGATGCAAATTAGTGTAGCTCAAATTCACCAGAAACAATTTGACCATCATATTGTCTGAATTATTTTGTAGCCTCAGGTGTGGCTTATTGGTGATTATTATAGTGCGTCGATGGCACAGTAGTTAGGACTCTCGCACGTGGCCCGGGGTTCGAGCCCACGCCGACGCACACCTGATATCTATGTTCGGCCTGCCGAATTTTGGCTACCGATATCCACGCTGAAAATTCCATACTTGTACCAAAAATACGGTGTGGATCAAGCTGTAATCAAAAACAAAATAATGTTATAATTATTTCCTGTAATTCTTATAGGAACATAATGCTTCAGCCAGACGTCTCCATTGCGTTCGGTTCTCTGCTAGAGTTTTCACCTGGCTCCAAGTGTGCCCATATGCTCTCGTCTCCTCTTCATACCACCTCCTCTAAGTCACCCCACACTCGGTTGACCAACTCGCCGCTTCCTTTTCTGGCAGGTTCCACTCAAGCGAAGGCTTGTCTAGTGATGTCACTTGATGGTTTGTTTCCTCAGAGTATGGCCAGCCAATCCACCTCCATTTCTTCCTGCCTATTTTTTGTACAATCGGTTCCTGTTAGGTTGGCTCGTTCATTGCCAGATATCCCTGTTGCTGATCATTTTGGCCGGCCATCTGATCTTGAGTGAATTATTGACCGAAGGCAGCTGCTGATGAAGGTGTGTAGCTGCTTTGAGATGCTCTTTATGACGCGCTGATCAAGTCTCTGATCCGTACAATCGGCAGCACTTACTTCACATTGGAGTTCAAAATCTGGATCTTATTTGCACTTTCATGCTGCCTGCGGTTGACCTCCAGATAGACTTGAGCGTGATAAATGCTTATCTTGCTTTCACGATCCTTGCCTTGATATACTCGTCAGTTCGTCCTCCTGTGGTTGAAACGATGCTTCCCATTTTGGTAGGTAGGTAGGTGAAGAAAGTTGCTTCTATCAGGTTCCTCCCATTTATGATGGTTGATTGTTTTCTATTGTAGTTGTTGCTGGTGGTGTTGGCCAGGAATCTTCATCACCTCTGTTTTCTCCATGTTCACTTGAAGTCCTATCTTCTATGGATGTTTTGTATGCCAACTTTTTGCTTGTCACTTGCATATCTTCTATTTTGTGGGATATCAGTGAATTGCAGATCGTCGAAATTTTTCGTGAGAGCCAATTTTAAGCCTGTTTCCTCGTTGCCCGCCGCTGTCTGTCGCATTGTCCAATCTAATGCAGTCAGGAAGATCATTGGCGATAGTAGACAGCCTTCCTTGACTCCCGTCCTCACTTAAAAAAAAAAAAAAAAAAAAAAAAAAAAAAAAAAAAAAAAAAAAAAAAAGTCATACAACGTTTGAATGAGATGTATAGTTGTCAGTGGCACCCCCTAGTAGCGAAGTAGTTATTGCTTATCTTAGCTGAATCTGAAGAGGTATTAAAAATATTGATCAGCATTATTATTACTATTAGTGTTATATTTATTATTCGATTGGGTGCCAAGTGGAACATGGGGTTTAAAGAGCACATTCCCATTTCACCCCGTTCTCTGCAGTCCTCTTTCACTGGAGCCATGTTTCTCCATATGCCTTCATCGCCTCTTCGTACTATCTTCCCAATATCAGCTTCGAACCAACCCCCAACTCGTTCTTTCCCATCAAGAATCCATTGGAGCGGTAGTCTGATGGATGATGTCATTTGATGATCTCCTCGGTGTGTCCCCGATCCATCTCCATTTCGTACAGCAAGTAGTTTTAGGAGTAGGTTTGTAATTCGTTCGTTTCTGAGCTTCCTTATCGCTATTTCTTTCTGGCCAGCTATCTGATCCCCAGTATGGAGTTGGAGAAGCCATCACTTGATGAAAGTCTTCAGTAGCTTGTAAGCAATGCTCTCTGTGACACACCAAGTTTCTGACTCACGTAGTGTGCAGAAGATTTCAAACTGATTTCAGAGTGACGTAGATGTGCCTTAGCTTTCCAATCGTAGCTGGTTTTGACATCCTCAACTGCGATGCTGATCTATAGTTGAGACGATGTTTTCTAGATAAGTGAGGAGAGAGTGACCTCTTTCAAATTTCCCCACCGATATTGGTTGATGCTTTTTGTTGCTATTAGCTACTGTCCTTCATAACCCATGTTTTCTCCACGTTAATTTGAGACACCGTCTTCAACTTATTGGTTTTCTCCTGTATACCTTCGAGCCTGTGTGACATCAGGCATGAATTGTCCGCCATGTACAGAACGTCTAGAGTCTTCTTGTCAATCCGACGTACTCTTGTCCTCTTCCTCCAGAGCACAGCCTTTCGCATAATCCAGCCTATCACAGTCAAGGATAGCGTCTTACTCCTGTCTTCACTTCAGAGGATTCTCAGAATTCTAAGATGTGGGTCGCTTGACATGCAGCTTTTGAGTGGTCAACAACTGTTCATATATTTTCTCTCTGTTTTCCTCTGATTCGGTCTTCCGGAATGATCTTTTAACTGAGGTATTACACTTTGATTAGTATCATCACCTCATTCGCGCTTCTAGGCGACTATGGTAACTGTTTGCACTTTATTTCTTCTGTGCTGCGGTGAATTTCAACCATTTCAAGGAGCATGTTCATATCACTGACCTTATGGTGTGTATTCAGTAAAGTACAGTTCCATGTTAGTTTCTATTGTCAATTCGGGTATCTGGCAAACAAAGTATTGATATAAATAAAATACAAGAAACTATGGAAATCAGCCTAGTAACGCGTAGGATTTTAATAACATTTCATTTTCTATAGTTTGGTTTGTAAAGGTTAATTTTGTTTTTAACCAGTTGATCACGGATTTATATCAATTAGAGAACCATTGAAAACCAACCAGGGAGTACTGGACAGCTAGCTGTTTCGTTTTAGTTTTGGAAGACCATCGGTAGTACAAGGCAACCATGCTCGTGTATCATTCAGCCAGTGGGACCCGAGTCAATGGCCAGTGCATGAATTCTAACTTCTGCCAATTTGTGATTTAGCCTGACCCCAACCATTGTCGTAGGTGGGACATCCATCCTCACATGTGACATCAATCCATGATCGAATCGTTAAAAACAAAATTAACCCTTACAAACCAAACTATAGAAAATTAATCTGATACTCGCTAGTGACTTGCTACATGATGGATCTTCCTGAAGTTCTAGTGAAAATTCGTGACTAGTGAGGTTCATCGAGATGTGATAAGCTCTTAGTAATATGATGATTTTTCTGGGGAGGCATGAACAACAGCAAGAGGGGTGTGAAAATGACTCACCGATGCATTTGACCTAAGTGTATGAAACCGGTGATGAAAATTTATTGACAATTACATTAAAAGTATTGGTTTGTAGTAGGGATTTTGTTTGATTGCATGGAGGATTTGATCATGAGCTGACATCAGTTAGAGAACCACTGGAAAACCTGGGAGTACTGGACAGCTGTTTCGTCCTAGTTTGGGACTCCTCAGCAGTACGCACTCAATGGTCTACGAGCTCGCCTTGTAACCAGAAGGTCCTGGGTTCGAATCCCGGTGGGTGCGTACTGCAGAGGAGTCCCAAACTAGGACGAAACAGCTGTCCAGTACTCCCAGGTTTTCCAGTGGTTCTCTAACTGATGTCAGCTCATGATCAAATCCTCCATGCAATTACATTAAAAGTTTGCATATTTTCATCATATGCATGAACTCAAATACCTCAGGTGTAATTACTAGTCTGTTACTTCTAAATTTCAGACTCATGTTGTCAAATCATTCAATGTGCTGACTGGAATACTCGAAATCATTTCTCACATTTCCATTTGTGGTATGTGAATCATCGATCACCGATTAGCTCATTGACAGTCTCACTCATGTAATGTACGAAATTGTGTGACGCGATGAAGAATAATCCCAGTGGTATCCAGAGTTTCAGTGTAGTTTCCGACTTAGCTTATTGATATCCCTCAGTGACTTCTAAGGCAAGTTAAATTGACGAATACAATTTAGTTGAGAATCGTCTCCGAGAGAATATTTGTGCTACACATTCTCCCTTGTAAATCACCTTTCATTAAAGAAAACAACACACGTAGTTCAGCGAAGAGTCTTTTTTCCGCGGCGAATGCATTTCCCACCTTAGCTGTACAATAGCAAATACATATGAGTTATTTTATATGCAGGTGTACATCAAGTTTGTCAAACTAATATTCAATTGGTTACGGATATTTCAACTAAACAGGTGAAGATTGGTATTTGATGTAACGTATTACAAAATCAGTCAAGAAAATTAGGTGTAAATGAGATAAGGGTAGTAACAAAGGTGATGAGTTGTCACAAACAGTTGTTAAAAAAGAAGTTATGTAATAATATGGATACTCTGATGATTGAGTTTTTCCCAGGATACGCATAGAAACAAGGTAGAGAATACGAAATTACGTAAGAGTTCTAAATGAATACAAGAGTTATAAGTAATTAAAGAACAGGCAAAGAAACAAAATTAAGTCATATAAAATCAACAAAGTTGTTACCATAACAGTAGTGTTGTTGAGTATTTCTCCTGTGTAAGAACAGCTCCGGTTTTTCTATGTGAATAGCCGGAGCTTCAGCGATACAAAGAAGACGAAACCGTATTGCGTTCGGTAGGTTATTCCTGACTGTGTAGATTACTTGAATAAGGCATTAAGAAGACAAATTTCGCGAGATGATATTGTCATTTCGTAGTTTATTTACAACCGCTTTACAACTAACATGGTTAACAATGATCAAATAAAGTTCATGAAAATTACTCAGTTAAGTAAAAAACAAAAGTACATACTAATGACCAATCATATTAAGATAGGTCATGTTGTCCATGGTAGACAAAGATTGAAGTCTATTGATTTCTGTACACACAGTTTAGGCTGTATATGATTAATCCAAAGTGCTTCCATCACCTTCAATAACCTTGAATTAGAGTTATGTGAAATAATTGTGAAACAGTCATTAATTAATATTGATTTTGTGACCAGACATTAATAAGTGTTTTGCAATGGATGATGATGCTGGATTTCTACTAAGATTAATCGCATTGGGATTTTCAATATGATTTACTAGCCATTTTGGAACATGTTCTTTTTGACGACATTGGAACATTCTATTGCTTCTACCTATGTAGATGTCACCGCAACTGCAGGTCAACTTGTAGATACAGTTGGAATTAGAGTCCGCAGAATTTCGTCCTTGAATCGTAGGTACAGGGATTGAAAATGTTCGAGACCTGAGGGAAAGAGATGCAGCATAGAATGTGCGTTTGATGGCTGACCGAAGTCTTCGAGCTACCTGTCAACTGCATAATCTGGTCGCCCTTGAAGGGTAGATTAATAAAGATAGCTTTCTTTGGTACAGAAGCTGTCTTTTCAAGATGTGGTCTATCCTTACCGTGACAACTGATGAAGTTTTCTGGATAACCATTGGCTAGTAAAACTGAATGTATATGTCGAAACTCATTCATCAATGTGTCACTCGTGTGTAGATTACGTTGAAGCAGGAGGCGGTTGTTGAGATGTAATGATCAGTGTGTTAACCGAAAGTTCAATTATCGCACTCCTTATTGCACCACTATTGCTTTTTCGTAACTATGCTGGATAGTGTTCTTGAATCCTCTTGGACAGGGTGTGCGTCAAACGACCGGTGTACTTGGCTGGCTCCACAGTAGCAGGTGAACTGATATATATATGCACATAGAAGTGGTGAGATGCGGGATGTTGTCCTTGAGGCTTCTTTAGATCAGTGGGTGACTAGAGAACACTATTCTTAGCGTTTCTGCAAAGAATGTTCTTCTCGGAGATGATGTGATGCTTCTTTCCTTCACTCATCTAGCTATTCATATTATTACACAACTTCTTTTTTAACAACTGTTTGTGACAACTCATCACCTTTGTTACTACCCTTATCTCATTTACACCTAATTTTCTTGACTGATTTTGTAATACGTTACATCAAATACCAATCCCCACCTGTTTAGTTGAAATATCCGTAACCAATTGTATTCTAGTTTGACAAACTTGATGTACACATGCATACAAAATAACTCATATGTATTTGCTATTGTACAGCTAAGGTGGGAAATGCATTCGCCGCGGAAAAAAGACTCTTCGCTGAACTACGTGTTTGGTTTTCACTAATTCCTGGATGGGGATCATCCATGAATCAGCTTTCAGTCAACACGCTTAACAAAGTCGCTTATATAATCGACACCAAATTCGAAACGTCAAAGTAATATAAAACCACACTCATATTAATATTGATTGTACTACTGAACCGAAAAAAATCAATGGTAATAAATTTAACTACATTTCACACATATCAAGGTATACTTATCGATGAGAATGGAAATGACAGGCCTCCCAATATCGCCCGCAATGAATTTCTTGCCCTCTTGAAGCAAACAGAATGTCTACGAAAACAGTACACAAATTACGATTATACGAGTGAAAAGGTTTGTGGTTTTATGCTAAATAAAGTTATCAAATTCATCAAATTTGTCTTTTTTGTTTGTCTACGCTGTATGAACAACGAAAAATACGTGTCGGTTTTGTTTGGTTATTATTAGCAGAAGAAGCCTTAACACCTTTGGAAGTGATAATATAAGTGTAAAACGTATGCACTGTGGTAGTAAGTTATTCCATATTAGTTTGTTCATTAGATGTATCGCACAGTGATGACACAGTATTACAGTTTAGTGGATGACACACTTTCGAACACAATTCATTATTGCTGTTCATAATCATTCCATCAATTAAAATCACACGATTTCGAAACTTGAATTTTATAGTATTCTTTGTTCTCTCCTATTTGTCGTCGTTGGGGTAGTAGAAGTTTCCAGATATTTGGGCGGACAGGTGTTCATTCATTCCTATTACACGTATTCTTTCTCAGTTGATTCGATAAACAAAGCTTCCGTTATCAATCTTTCCCTTCACCCTGCTCTTGAATTAGACTTTAAAACCTTCAGCTTATCCCATCCAGCCTATTATATGGTTGTGTTGTGCGTAATTGCATTCAGCGAGTGTTATAGCTGAACTATCCTCCAGATTTCTCATCTTATTCGAGTCAGCTAATCTAGGTTTTGTGGCTAGGTTTTTATGCTCCGCTAGTCTGACTGACTGATCCCTGCTCTACTACTTGGTGCTATGTATTTCACCTGATAACCACTGCAGGCAGGGCATTAGATAAACTAAATTGTTTTTTTTAAAGGCTCACAGGACTGATCCTTTAACCGACAAAGCTTGTTTCTAATTGAGTTTGTAGGTGATGTGAATGCCATCCACTTTTATTCCTGCCTGCCTTGTTAAGTATTCTGCATAAGGTTTCCGAGGTTCCTTCCTTATTTGTATGGAATTACTACTGATGATTTAGATTCCTTGTTGTTGGTGTTGTCTTGTGCATTTTGACATGCATTACTATTATTATTATTATTAATATTATTATTGTCATTATTATTACCATTATCCCTATCGCTACTATTATTGTTTATTTTATTTTCTGTGTTCATTTTCCAAATTTTTCAAATTCTCGTGAGTGTAGGGTGTACAAATTGGGAGAAGTTCTTCGGTATTTCAATTTCATCTTCTCTGTTGTCCACTTAACGAAAATAAATCTGTCTGTCTATATTACAGCTTTTTTCTTAGATAGCATTGCCTAGCTATTATTCCACAGATATAACCAGGTTTCAGTGACCTTGTGACTGTTATACAATGACCGCTATGACTCATTTGGTTTAATAATTCTGCCCTCTTCTTTAAAACCCGTGAATGATTCCATATTAGTTTATTAAATGTATCACACAATGAAACAGTATTACTGTTTACTGGATGACACAGTTTCGAACACAATTCATTATTGTTCATAATCATATCGTCAATTATAATCACACGACTTCGAAACTTGAGTTTTATAGTTTTCTTTGTCTTGTCATATTTGTCGTCGGCGGGTAGTAGAACTTTCCAGATATTTGGGTGGCGAGGTGATGAATCATTCCTATTACATGTATTCGCAGTTTATTCGATAAATAAAGATTCCGTTATCAATCTATCCCTATACCCTGTGGCATTACATTTTTAAACTGCCATCCTATCCCATCCTACTGTATGGTTGACAGTTTTAAAATGTAATGTCACAGGGTATAGGGAGAGATTGGTAACAGAAGTTTTGTTTATCGAATAAACTGCGAATACATGTAATAGGAATGATTAATCACCTCTCCACCCAAATATCTGGAAAGTTCTACTACCCTGCCGACGACAAATATAACAAGACAAAGAAAACTATAAAACTCAAGTTTCAAAGTCCTGTGATTATAATTGACGATGTGATTGTGAACAATAATGAATTGTGTTCGAAACTGTGTCATCCAGTAAACAGTAATACTGTTTCACTGTGTGATACATTTAATAAACAAAATAATATGGAATTACATACTAACACAGTGCCCAAGTTTTACACATATATTAATGTGAATGATATCTACAGTCATCCGATTCATTGATTTTAAAGCGTAATATTTCAGAGGGATGATTTTGAAAAGTCTAAGCGAGCTAAATATTCACACATATATACACGTAATCTAATTCAAGGTACAGATTTCCTATGGAATTCTATGTTAATGCTAAGTACCTCCAAGTGTCATGACCTCTGATAAGCATATCTTAAGGTCAGTGAAACACAGTCAAATGTTCTCAGTTTGTTTGAATCTGAATAGTATGAAGTCTAGTTCTGGCAAACACCAACAACAACAGCAGACAACAATCAGCCAGCATAAATAAGAGGAACCTGGAAGAAACAATCTCCTTTACCTACATATCTCGGAAGCATCGTTTCAACTACAGGCGGAACTGACGAGGATATCAAAGCGAGGATCGGGAAAGCAAGATAAGCTTTCATTACTCTCAAGTCTGTATGGAGGTCAACAGAACTCAGCATCAAAAATAAGATCCGAATTTTCAAATCACTGTACGGATCAGACACTTGCACTGTGCGTCATAAAGAGCATCTCAAACAAACTACACACCTTCATCAACACCTATCTTCGCTCACTACTCAAGATCAGATGGTCGGCCAGAGAAGATCAAAACCAGGGATCTCTGGCAATCAGAGAACCAACAAACCAGGAACCGATTGTGCAACAAATAGGCAGGAAGAAATGTAGGTGGATTGGCTGGCCGTACTCTGAGGAAACGAACCATCAATTGACATCACTAGACAAACCATGGCTCGCGTGGAACCTGACTGAATGGGAACCGGCGAGTTGGTCGTCATTGTGTGAGTGACTTGGAGAAAATCATGTGAAGAGGAGATGAAAGCATGTGGACAGACGTTGAGCCAGGTGAAAACTCTAGCAGAGATTCGAATGCAATGGAGACTTGCAGGTGAATCCCCATGTTCCTCTGTTAATTAAAGAAAATACTACTAATGAACTCTAGAAATCATAAAATGTAGGCTTCAATGACTCCTTCTTTGTATATTCAAAAGTGATGTTATTCTACGTATTCCACTTATCTGTAATGCATATTTCGATTATTATCAGAGTGGAACAATTCGAGTTCTGGATGAAATTCTATCAGATAACGGAGGTCTGAGGATAGCGTACCAGGTAAATGATGATATTCGTTTTGTAATGTCAGTAATTTATACGGTATGACAATGTCTCTCCTGATATCACTTATACTGACTGACTGTCCAAATTTAAACCCTTTTTCACTTTTGTAACTGAAAGACGGAGTTTATAGTTTGACCTCCAGAAGGCGGAATTCGTGGACAGCTATTCTATATCAGTAAAAGGTTTGAGCATTGTAGATTAGATCGAATAAAGTATAATTATATTTCAATAGTTTACACACAATGATAATTTTTGTCATTGGTAATATTTCGAGCAAAATTACTGCCCGTGTTCAAACACATTTATGATTTGTACTCATATATATAGTTCATTATTTTTTTGTTCAATCATGTTTTTTGTATTCAGAATTATATTCCGCGTTCATTCATGTTTTTGTATTCAGAATTATATTCCGCGTTCATTCATGTTTTTGTATTCAGAATTATATTCCAAGTTGTTGATAGTTGTACTGAGTCACCCCTGTTACATGTATCCGGTGTGGCTTTAATGAATATCGATTCCGTTATGAGTCTTTCTTTCCATTTGTTCATGTTAGTTTTTATAATACACTCATTGTTCCAATCGATATTGTGGTTTTTGTCCTATGCATGTGCAGCTATCGATGAATTTTGTTTTTCAAGATTCTTGTAAGCTTGCGTTCCTGTTGGTTGACCTTTAGTTAGGTGTTTATGTTCATTCATTCTTATTTCGAGTGATCTGGATGTCTGCCCCACATATTTAGTCGGACACTCGGCACAAGATATTTCTTGTAAATCACATTGTTTTTATCCATCATTTTTATGGGATCTTTCAGTGGATTTATTTTATTTTTGATTAGATTCGTCGGTTTAAACATTGTTCGAATGCCGATATTTATGAGGTTGCTCTGAAATGCCTCTGATGTACCATTTGTTTTATATGGTATTGTGCCTGTTTTTTTGCATTATTCCATCTTGTTATTCTCCGGTTTTACCCTCCTTTTTCTCTTTTTTATATTATCTTTCATAAATTCATTTGGGTAGTTGTTTTCGAGTAGCACTTTGAATAGGACTTTTATTTCTTTACACTGGTCCTCTGGTGTACTTGTAAGTCTACGTATTCTGTTTGCAAGCCCTTGTATTAATCCTCGTTTAACCATGAGTGGATGAGCTGAGTGATGATCAAGGAATCTTCCAGAGTGTGTGGTTTTTCTGAACAAAAGCATAATGAACTATATATATATATATATATATATATGAGTACAAATCATAAATGTATGAATAAAACAATTCCAACAGTTGGTGTGAACGCGGGCAGTAATTTTGCTCGAAATATTACCAATAACAAAACTTATCATTGTGTGTAAACCATTGAAATATAATTATACTTTATTTGAGTTACTGTATAGTTGTGATAAGTGCTCCAAACTATCTGCTTGACTGATAGAATTCAGTCTACACCGAAGAAAGGATTAGACATGTCACACTAGTTACTAGTGTCCAATCAAAATTATCTACTTCGTTTGAAAATGGAGTATGCCTGTCAAGATTGCGTCGTTTCTCTGCAAGATTATTAGGCGGACAAATACATCGAAAAGTCAGGAATATCAAAGTCTGTGTCATACAGAGGACGAACACATCAGGTGTGTCCTAAGAAATGCATTTCATTACCTCATCAATGAAGTCGTGACCAGTAAGGTGCAGCAGGTTGGGTATGAGGACAAATACCCGCCGAAGACATCGGCTAGTGGTCGCGCTTTGCCGTGAACTGGCAGAAGTTGGAATTCTTGGGCTGGCCGTTGGATCGATTCCCAGTGACTTAACGGTCGATGAGCTCGCCTTGTAACCAGAAGGTACAGGGTTCTAACCTCGGTGGGTACGCACTGCTGAAGAGTCCCACGCTAGGACGAAACAGCTGTCCAGTACTCCTAGTTGTTTTCCAATGGTTCTATAACCAATCACATTATCGTCACACTAATAACTTCCATTGTTTTTGAATAAATAGGCGTCAGATATTAAACTCCAAGACACCGTTTTCGACCAAGTCGTCTAAATAGGTTGGAAGGCAAAATTAGTTGGTTTTATCACCAAATACCGATAGTTAATGAAGGCTTACATTTGGTTAGGAAAATTTATTCAAACACGTCTTTCTGAAATTATAAACTAGAACTGTGAAAAGAGAAGATCACTTCGAATACACTGTAGGATTAGCAGAAGTATTCTACCGTGTTATGAAGTATCCACAACCAAATTTGCATAATGCTTACAAGCAAAAACCGACAACCTGGTCGAAGAAGCAAACAGTGAAGACAGGACTCCAGGTGAACATAGACAAGACGGAGGTTATGAAAATAACCAACCAACCAGCAGCAACAGCATCATCCAGCCAGTGGCCAATCACCATCAACGAGAGGGATTTAAAAGAGGTTACTTCATTCACTGATTATCTAGGGAGCATTGTCTCAACTACGGGCCACAGGAACGGACGAGGATGCCGAATCGAGCGAAAATCGGGAAGGCGAGCGAAAAACACATTCATCAACCTGAAATCAATCTGAAAATCTTCGTCACTCAGCCAGCCAGAATCAACAACAAAATCCAGTCGGATTTCCAATACAAACGTCAAGTCAGTCAGTTTGTATACACGGAACGGATCAGAAACTTGGCGGGCGGGCGGGCGGATCACAAACAATATTTCCAACAGCCTGTTGCAGACCTTCATCAACCAACAACTGTCTTCGCTGGCTGTATACTGAAGATCAGATGGCCGGCCGGCCGGCCGGGCCGGAAAGAATCACCAACTATGGGAAACTCTGGTCACAAACAAACAAAACAAGAAGCAATAGCCCAACCAACAAATATGCAGGAGAAAGTGCATTGAGATGGATTGGACACTCGTGGCTGAGTAGGCCGCCGCTGGGTGACATCGCGTGCGCGTCAGGCCATTGCTCGAGTGGAACCAGGCCGAAGGGGAAGCGGCGACTGGGGCGTCAGTGCAAGGGTGACGCGGAGGAGATCATGTGAAACAGTATGTTGAGTTGAAAGCGTATGGACTAACATGGATCCAGGTGAAAAGTACAGTAGAAGACAGAAGTGGCAAGTGGAGATGTGCAGTTGAAGCCCTATTTTCCACTAGGAACTCAAGGGGACAACAATAATATCATGAAATATCTCATTTAAGTATAGATTGAGAGATTCTCTCTTTTACTTATAACCAAGCATCTACGTAATCAGTCGACAACTTAGGATAATTAGGAGAGAGAATCAATGCTGTAATCACTTCCACTAACTTTTCCACTTACTGTGTGGTTTGATTATGCAGACTGTGGTAAGACGACTTGGAATCGATAGTAATTAAAACGTCTAATACCGTGTACACTTGACGGCTTCATTTGTAGAATTAAGATACATTACTATATGCCGTATTAAGTGGATCCCTGTGAGCAGATTACCAGAAGGTTTCCACGCTAGTGTTACATAAGATCAGATGAGGGAAACCATGGCAGTATTGCTATATTTTACAAATTGGCTATTGGGTTCCGTCCAAGTATCTGAATGTCCAACGGGTTAACCGCATAACGTGAATGTCCCTGGTTCGATCCTTGTCGGGGAAAGTCATGAACACATACTTCCAAAGAACCCAAACTAGTATGAAATAGCTGTGTAGTTCCCCACCCCCCTAGTTCTCGATGTTGCACTAACTCATATTGCATCGTAATCTCACCTAGAAATACAGTGTCTCATTAGACGTGATAAGTTTATTGAGAGAAACACTTCATACTGCATTCACAATATTGACATCAGAAATGCTTTAACTTCATGGAGGACAGAAATCGACTTCACCGGTGATCACAGGGATAATGTGAATGTAAAGTGTTGGGGCGCTATTAGTGGGGTCAAAAAAGATGACAAAAATCGTCACAAAATTATATCGGAAATGGTTTGAACAGCATGTGTGTGTCCAAAGGACCACCGGGAACGCAAACTATTTCAAAACTGAATGAATTCATCGCCAGTGCCAATTAGCCATCATACCGGCCAAGTCAACATTTGCACCCAGCTACTAGTATCTGCATTTTGATTTGTAAATATTTAGGCTCCAACTACTTAATGAAGTAAGTATTAAAGTAGTCGACTCTATTGAAACAAAACTGCTAAAAATTCAAGGGTCGATATGTAGCCTCGGTTATTGACCTTTAATAATTTAATAATTCCCATTGTAGCATTAAGAACACAATATTCAGCAAAGAGACTCTTTTCATCAACGAATTTATTATTATCAAGCTGTACAATCTTATAGATATCGTTTTTTTAAGAAATTATAGCCGGTGAGGGAATTAGGTCAAAGGTGTGAATACATGAAGTAATAATAATAGTAGTATGAGATGCAATTACAATATTTGTGATTATAATCATAGTTTAATATCAAGTGGCAAAATAATTAATGTCATATATAGGATAATACACAAGGTGTATAGATGCTGGAATGGGGTATATAATTATAGTGTGGTGAGAGCTGGCTGTTAGTCAAAATTGGAGGACAGTAATTTACGTCAATGTTTATGTCCCCAATATTTGTCGTGAGAAAAATGAGAATAAAGACTTCGCGTAGGCGGATACAGTTAACATATAGATGATCTGATATTCAAGAAACAGTCACAAGGAGATGAAAGATTAACTTTCAGTGAGAAACAACCAATCAGAGGACTGTTTTTTGCTAAGAATACTCTATAATAATGTTCATGAAAATCTATAAATATGTGTTGATTTCCTTAGTAAACGATCTGTTGACTGGCCCTTGTCTTCTATTGTTACAATAGGATTAGTAGAAGAATATAAAATGTTACATGGTATGTATGTATGTGACATGGTGTGAAATTCGATGATAGAATTCAATATTTTAAAAACAAAAAATATAAAAATTAAAAATTTTGGGTTTCGAATGACAAATGAGTTAGAATAGTAATAATAATAGTAATAATCGTAGTAATAAGGGAAAGGTACGTAGAATAATTAAATAAACAAAATCAACAATTGACTATCCTTCTACGGCCAAGGCAGAAGTAGGGATTGTACATACTTCTTTTGTACACAAAAGTCTGGCCTAAACTCATGAATTTCCAAGGCCTCAGCTGTATTTAGAAGTCTGTAACGAGGAAAACGCCTCCAGCAATTTAGCATGTACTCGGTAGATGATCTTGAAATCATGGTCAGGGTTGACAGAGTGAAAGAAATCGATCAAGGGTTCTACCAAAATATGATTAAAATCACAAATATTTTAATTGCATTTCATACTATTAATATTATTTTTTCATGTATTCACACCTTTGACCTAATTCCCTCACCGGATATAATTTCTTAAAAAAACAACCATATATATACGATTGTACAGCTTGATAATAAATTCGTTGATGAAAAGAGTCTCTTCGCTAAATATTGTATTCTTATTAACTTTTATCCATAATAATTCCTCCTGTCATTTATTCATTTTAGACATTTCAAAGACTGACGAGAAATCTTACCAATGATGCTGGTGAAAACACGAACTCATCTTCCACTTCGGAAAAATCGTTTTTCTATAATTTTGCTCAGGTGTGTGTAGCTTGGTTTCGTTTGCTCTCATGTATTTTATTCCCAAACTAGTAGACCCTTTACTATAGCTGGCAGTGGAAAAAGGGAACTCATGAAAAGACACTTGGGTTTCGAGTGAAGAGAAGGCTTCGAAAGCACATCCCTATATATTACAATTTTGATTCTTTGAGATCATTTTCACTGTGATCCACTATTTGCCACCAAATCTGTCATTCCTTTCTATAGGGTCCAGTTCATTTCACCGTCAAATCAACTCCCAACTTGTCACTCCTTAGTCGTCTTCCACATGAGGTCCTACCTGGTGTGTGATTTCCTTCAGCAGCCTTCCGTGTGTATTTTCAGTCCATCTCTATTCTCATTTGCTTACGTATCGGACAATAGGTTAAATTAGTTCGTCCACTGCTTGCTACAGCTGTGTTTTGCCAATCCTTTCTTGCCAGCCACCTCTGATTTTCAGTATACAGCGAAGTAGCCAGGTGTTGATAGAAGCCTGAAGTAGCCTGTTGTAAATGGCTCCCATGTCGTACGCGCCGTCTCTGAATTACAAAGCCTCCGTGATTTGAGTAGCATGAGTGCTGAAAATTCGAATCTTCTTGTTCGTTGTGGCGAATGCTGGGGATTCACACATTGATTTGCAGATGTTGGAAAGTAAAAAGTAGATAGATAGACTCTTGTTTGGTAGTATTTGATACTAAGATGGAATACATGCTAAATATTTTGATCCACTATGTTAGTTGATGGACATTGGAATGGAACTGTGATACCAGACATGCATTCTGTGTTCACAGTAGCTTGGCTATGTAATTGAAACAATAAAAATTCGAGGCCTTAGATACGACAAATACTCGTGTATTTTGTCATTAGATGTGTATTGAAAAATTACTCAGGAGAATGGAAGAGGTAAGAATACAAATAACATAATAAACTGGGCTGTAAACAAGTTATTCCTACTCAGAGAATTCAGTTTAATGCCCCAAGCAGAATCTGATTTGTCATCTAGATGCCTCCTACTTAATAGGAAGAGATATGACCGTTGGACCGTTTCACTTGATGCATATTCCAGTTTGGATTCACCGGCGCCACTTTACTCACAGGTCTGAACTAACCGCTATTCATGAAATTTCATACAGAGTACCGAAGCTTGCGAAAGTGTAACAAATACTCACCTGTTGATACCAATCATTTGCTAGGTCCTGAATTCTCCTTACAGAAGAAGTTAGTTCAGTCACTACACTTGCAATGGACGTAATCTATCTTATTACCCGACATGTATTATTATAATATTATTATGATTTCCTTCAGTCAAACGTCTCCATTGCGTTCGGTTCTCCGCTAAAGTTTTCACCTGGCACAACGGTTGTCCACATGCTCTGATCTCCTCTTCACATGACCTCCTCCAAGTCACCCTCACACCCATGACCAACCCGCCGGTTCCTATTCAGTCGGGTTCCACACGAGCCATGGTTTGTCTAGTGATGTCAATTGATGGTTTGTTTTCTCAGAGTATGGCCAGCCAATCCACCTCCATTTCTTCCTGCCTATTTGTTGCACAATCGGTTCCTGGTTTGTTGGTTCTCTCATTTCCAGCGATCCCTGTTGGTGATCTTTTCTGGGCGACCATCTGATCTTGAGTATTGAGCGAAGATAGGTGTTGATGAATGTGTGTAGTTTGTTTGAGATGCTCTTTATGACGCGCAGTGCAAGTGTCTGATCCCTACAGTGAGTAGCATTGACTTACTTCACATTGGATTTGAAAATCCGGATCTTATTTTCATTTTCATTCTGAGTGTTGAGTGTTGACCTCCATACAGACTTGAGAGAAATGAGAGCTTGTCTTGCTTTCGCGATCCTCTCTGCCTTGATAACCTTATCATTTCCATCCGCCTGTAGTTGAAACGATGCTTCCCAGGTTGTTAGGTGAAGGAGTTTGTTACTTTCAGGTTTCTCTTATTTATGCTGGCTGATTGTTGTCTGTTGTTGTTGCTGTTGTTGTCAACCAGGAGTCTTCATCACCTATCTCAGTTTTCTCTATGTTTACTTGGAGTCATATCTTCTCTGGATGCTTCTTGTTCCAACTTGTTGCTTTTCACTTTCATATCTTCCAGTTTGAAGGAAATGAGACATATATATGTCATCAGCGAAGGCCAGATCCTCAAAGTTTCTTGTGAGGGTTCATTTTATGCCTTTTTGCTCGCTGTCCGCTCTCTGTCGCAATATCTGATCTACTGCAATCAGGAAAATCATTGGCGATAGAAGACAGCCAGCCTTGTCTTACTCCCGTCTTCACTTCGGAGGATTCCGTGTGTTTCCCGTTTTGGATTACTTGGCATGCAGCATTGTCATACAATTGTTGTATGAGATGTATAATTGTCGGCGGCAGCACGTAGTAGCGAATTAGTCGCCAAATCACCTCTCGATCAACGCTGCGCTGTCGAAGGCCCTTTCAAAGTTGATGAAGTTGGGATAGACGGATGACTGTCATTCTAAACTCTGTTCAATGATGATCCATAGTGTGGCGATTTGATCAATACATGACGTGTTTCTCCTGAATCCACCTTGTTCAGGTTGAATTTTTTCATCCAGGGCTTGTTTGATTCTCCAAATGCTTCCTGTTTATAGGAAGAGATATGACCGTTGGACCGTTTCACTTGATGCATATTTCAATTTGGATTCACCAGCGTCACTTTACTCACAGGTCTGAATTAACCGCCATTCATGAAATTTCATACGGAGTACTGAAGCATGCGAAAGTGTAACAAATGCTCACCTGTTGATACCGATTTAAACAATTCAAACAAGAGTTTCATAAGAACCCGCCGTATACGTCTCTTAAAGAAATACAGAACACTTAGGAGTAGGTCACGTGCCGTGAATCCAGGAGATTTTACATTTGAGGAGACGCTCTTGTATGGTCAAATAAAGCTGTTGAACATACGGTATTTCGGAGCAGTGGTTCTACTGATCCTGTGGAATGTGCTTAACCTGTAATTCAGAAATTCAGCCAGCACATCTCCACTCCGAAGGCTATTCTGTGTGGGCATTCTAACGTCATTGGCTTAGTTGTGCTCACATTCCAAATTATAATTTCACCAGATTTCGGTAAAGAGAGATTGACGACTTTGAAATCAGTCGAGGCTGAAGAGAAGTAATCTTAACCAACTTAGTCGGTTGATTTGAACTTATTTCATAACCTGCATAAATCATCAGGCTATCTAATTTTCTACAGACAGCAATGTGTCAAATTCACTCAGCTGTTGCAGCTTATTTCAACCGCCTGTTTGAGTTCGTCAGGAACAGTCTGTCCTCAAGTGTATTTTCGGATATCATTCAACATATCCACTGCTGCGTTTTGAAAGAAAAAAATACATCAGGGATTGAAGACAGTGGTAGATCCGATATAACACGTAGATAGGAGCAGACTGATAACTCTTTACCATTTATAAACATGCTATTATTACTGTTACTATTATTAGCATGTCAATCGGTTCTCTAAACTATTTTATACACTGAATACGATGTGATTCTCTGAAGTTTCTACATTCATCTCTCTTGAACTTAGGGAGCAAATAATTCATCTTTTGTTGATCTAATTTTTTCCAGACATTTTGTGAAAAGTATACTGCAGAAGGAATAACTGAAGACATGAGTAACTCTGATCACGTGCTGGGGCATTACAGGTAAGTTTTTATTAGAAATGCGATGGTGTCTTCACATCATTCCTCGAGTTCATCAGTGATTCATAAGAGGTGGTGTGTGACTTGATTCGATTTTGATGTGATTGTGTTCTCTCAGCTGGATAGTTAATTTGCGAAGCTTTCATCGCCCTACTAGGCAACAAATATCTTCAGCGCATACTTCACTTCGTTGACGTGAGCTTTTAGATTTCTCCACATGTTTATCAGTCATCTCTCCTGATGACCTTGGATGTGATTGGTTGTTTTGTGTGTTTCCACATCTTCTAGGTTACTTGTATTGTACTGAAACTGATTGTTTATTTGACTTTAACTTTGACCCATTGTGTGTGAGGTTTCTTCCTTATCGGTTGATAAATTTTGTCTATCTCGATGTGTCTATGGTTTCATGATTCACTGGAATGCCAAGCTGCAAAAGATTCTCTAGCATTCTTGGTGTTTCCTCTGTCTAATATTTGAATGTTGGTTGTCCCAGTCGAATGGATGTCCGTGGTTGTCTGTATGCAGTGAGGCGATTTGAGTGATGGAGTGGATATCATGTCTTTTGACGACTAGCTTACGTTTGTGTATACGAAGACGAAGGGGACGTCCACTTTGGCCAATGTAGTGTTTTTCTCAGTTGTTACAAATTCATTTTGTAGATGATGTTGGTTTTATCTCGTTGTTGAGTCTTCTGGTTGACACAGAGCTAGCCAGCTGAGTGATGTGCCTTTGTCGGTTTGTGTACGACGTCAGTTCACAAAGGTTTGAAAAGTATTGTAGTGATTTTTGAGATATCTTTTATATATGGTATGGCGATTTTCTTTGTTCTTTCCTTGAAGGTCTTTTGGTTTGATAGGTTGGCTTGAGGGTAGATTTCTTTTGACGAAATTCCGTGGATATCCATTCTTCTGGAAGACGTCCATGAGATATCTTTCTTCAACATTCCTTAAGGTGTGTGTGCTGCAATGAGTCCTGGCTGACCCTCTTGAATAGTGTTTGTATGCAATTCCTTTTGTGTGTTATTGGATTGTTGCTGTTGTAATTCAGCGAGGATTTGGTCTGTGTGAGTTGATTTTCTGTAAACTTGAGTTTCTAATTTCCCTGTGGTTGTTCATATGACTAAGACGTTTGAAAATGGGATTTTCTCCTCGGATTCCTCTTCTCTTGTGAATTTGATGTCGTTGAAGACGTTGCTTATTAAGTTAAGAGTTTTATCTAACTCGTTTCTTTTGATTATTACAAATGTGTCGTCCAAGTAACATATCCAAATCTTGGGTTTGATCTTTGGTAGAATTATGCATCACTGCTTCTGCAATCAAACCTGATATTGGCGATCCCATGAGTGTTCCTTTGACTTGTTCATATATTTAGCCGTTGAATTGGAAGTATGTTGGTAGGCATAGGTTTATGCGTTCCATCAAGCTTGTATGTAGCATTTTTGATGGTTGTGTCGTTGTCGTTGCTATCCAACTGCTCCTTGTTCTCTTTTGCTAGTTTTTGTCCGATTGAGGTATATAATGCTGTCACGTCGAAGGATACCATTATTTCGTGTTTATCTATTTGGATGCCTCTGATTTACTCCAGGAATTGAATAGTAGACTTGATGGAGTGATCACAAAATTCCTTTAGGTGTTCCAGTTCTCTGTATAATTCTTTGGATAAATTATATGTTGGAGTGATAGAATCGGTTGTAACGGGATATTTGGCTTGTGTACTTTGGGTCTTCCGTAGAATCGGAGTAGGACTGGTCCACTGGATTTCATTATCCATTGGTCTTGTTTTGTGATCTGTCCAGTTTTGGTGAGCTTGTTTAAGATCCTTTGACTGCGGTTGTCCAATGTTTGTATGGGATTTGTTGACAGTTGCTGATATACATCCTCGTCTTTGAGTAGTTCTTCGGCTTTCGTGATGTGTATTCTTCTCTGTCCATGACTACTGTTGTTCTTCCCTGATTTGGGTAATAAAATAAGCTGAAATTCAGATAAGACTGAACAAGGTAAAACGAATGCCTGAAAAATAATCGAGCGCTCACTGGCGACCGCTTCTCTATGGAAATTTACCTGAAAATCCAGTAAGTAGTGTTGGTTACCGGGGTCCACCAAGTCAGATAAGAAGACAAATACTCGCCGACGACACTGGCTACAGCACGATTACAGCATACATATGGCTGAAGTTGCGAATAACGGGTCATTCCGTCGGGTCCAAATGGACAAATGGTCGACTTTGTAACCAGAAGGCCCTGGGTTTCTAACGCCAGTGGATTGCACCATGAAGAGCTTCAAACTAGGATGCAAAAGCTGTCCAGTAATGACTGTTTTTCCAGTGATTCTCTAACTGATGTCAACTCATTATCGAACCTGTATGCAAGAGAGTGTCAGTGACCTATCAAGTCACACAGTTTTGAATGTATATATATATGACCATTTTGATAGTAGTGAAACAAGAGAAGACAAGGGCAGGTCAACAGATCGTTTGTTAAGGAAATCAACACATATTTATAGATTTTCATGAACATTATCATGGATTATTGTTAGCAGAAAAACACAGTCTTCTGACTGGTGGCTGTTTCGCACTGAAAGTTAATCTTTCATCTCCTTGTGACTGTTTCTTCAATGTCAGATCATCTATATGTTAACTGTATCCGCCTACGCGAAGTCTTTGTTCCCATTTGTCTCACGACAAATATTGGGGACGTAAACGTCGACGTAAATTACTGTCCACCAATTTTGACTAACAGCCAGCTCTCACCACATCAGTAGCTTAACGTAATGCAGTTTGTACTTTCCCATGGACTGACTGGACGGAAGTGTTCGGCCTCTGTTTATATATCGGTTCTTCGTGCAGATGACTTCAAAATTTCTGCGGATTTAACTTACAGGAATTTGAAGTAACGAAGTAACAATAATTTGGTGCGCACTGCATAAGAGGTGGAGTTTGTTCCTCCAAGTAGACTAGTGGATAACGCTTGGATGTTTGAAACGATGCGTACTGGGCTAAAGGCTCAGTGAAAAGACCATCACTCTCTGATGAATGAGCGTACATCAGCTGACGAGTTCCAAATATGATTAAATGAGCATCTTGGATTTCACCGCTAGTCACAATCCACCAAACCACTTGACTTAACATCTTTATCCCGGAAAATGCGTTTACACACAAAATAGAGAATTTTCAGCGACTCACATTGTAGAGTTTTTAGAATTTTCAAATGACGTAATAACCGAAAATATATCATCTGAAACATGCTCCAATACCACTCTATAAAACTTTCCCGTTACCGTCGTTGACATCAGTAGATTGAAACGCATCTCAGATCATGTGCAAGTATAGACTTCAACTCAGACTGGTATTAGACGATTGAAAGAAATATAAAACGGAGTGAATACTATGCGTTTTGTTGGAAAGAAAATTAGGGTAGCCCTTTAATTTAATCAGGCCGCCTATATTGGAGGTTTCGATGAATTTAACACACAGTTAACTCTAACAACACCCTCTACAAGTTTCTACATCTTTAACCGTATTCGTCGATACATTAACTCACTGTTTCTTGGCTTTTTATTTATCAGAGTAGTCGGTGCCTTGTCGAACAGTGAAAATTTTGCAAGAGCATACAACTGTCCAGTGGGCTCACCAATGAATCCAAGTGAAAAGTGTCATGTATGGTGAATGAGTTCGTGTTCATAGCTCACAATAAGCGCATATATTCGTGTTCTCATCTGAAAAGAAACTGAACTGTAATCCTGTCCTACTTTGAGTTGTTTTTTATCGAACTCTCATTATCATAATATACTCATCTGAGTGAACTTGATTTATTTGATTGCCTTATTTTACCTGTGACATAAGCCGTCATCATTACGCTGGATTTTAGATAATTCGCTAACTTTCTACTCTTCTATAATTGGTCTTCTTCCTATATTTCAAATGCTACCAAAATATGTCTCCAGTGACTTTATCACTTCTTAAGGTAACAGCCTCTACGTTCCATCAGGTTATTGATCATTTCATGTAGTCCATTTCAGTAGATGGCAAATATTCGCTCACTGTTATGACAGGTAGATGACACCATTACTGGAGAAGGTGTGGAAAGAGGGGAAGGTACTCGTGGATTGGAAGAAAGGCTACTTATTTAAACTACCAAAGAAAGGAGACTTAAATTAATGCAAGAACTGGCGCGGAATTATGCTTCTGTCCATCCAAATCAAATAACTAAGTTTCACAATCCTGGAGAGTATCAAACACACCAGCCTGTATGGGAAACTTCGAATGGAACAGACCGGATTCAGGAGAAACAAGTCATGTATTGATCAAATTGCCACACTACGGATCATCATTGAACAGGGCTTCGAATGGCAATCAGCTCTCAACCTCACTCAAATTCATCAACTTTGAAAAGTCCTTCGACTGCATTGATCGAGAGGTGATTTCGAAACTACTTCGCTATCATCAAGGGGTGCCGACAACAAATATACATCTCATCCAACAGTTGTACGAAAATGCTGCAGGCCAGACGGGAGTAAGACAAGCTGGTTGACTACTATCGCCAATGATTTGCCTGATCGGAGTAGACTGGATGATGTAATAAACAGTGGACAGCGAGGAAACAGACATAAATGGATCCTCAAAAGAAAGTTGGAGAATCTGGAATTCACCGACGCGGCATATGTCTGAATTCCCACAAACTGGAAGATGTGCAAATGAAAAGCAACAAGTTCGCAGAAGAAGCATCAAAGATAGAACTTCACTTCAGGTGAACATAGAGAAAATAGGGGTAGGTGATGAAGATTCCTGGTGAACGTCAACGGCCACAGCAAAAACAACAACAGACAACAATCAGCCAGCATAAATGGGAGGAACCTGAAAGAAACAATCTCATACACCTACCTACCTACCCGTGAAGCATCATTTTAACTACAGGAGGACGGAACTGATGAGGATATCAAAGTGAGGATCAGGAATGCAAAGCAATCTTTCATTTCTCTCAAGTCTGTGTGGAGATCAACGCTCAGCACTCAGCATGAAAAACAAGATCTTGATTTTTCAACTCCAATGTGAGTTAAGTCAGTGCTACTCACTGTATGGATCAGAGACTTGGCCGGCGCGTCATAAAGAACACCTCAAACAATCTACAGACCTTCATCAACAGCCGTCTTTGCTCAATACTTCGCTCAAGATCAGATGGTTGGTCAGAAAGGATCAGCAACAGAGATCCCTGGAAGCAAATGAGCCAGGAACCGACTGTACAACAAATAATCGGGAAGGAATGGAGGTGGATTGGCTGGCCATACTCTGAAGAAACAAACAATCAAGTGACATCTATAGACAAGCCATCGCTTGAGTGGAAGCGGCGAGTTGGTCGTAACTGTGAGGGTAGGGTGACTTGGAGGAGGTCATGTGAAGAGGAGATGAAAGCACGTGGGCAGATCTGGAGCCAGGTGATAACTCCAGCAGAGAATTGAACGCAATAGAGACGTTTGGCTGAAGACCTATGTTCCTCAAGGAGTTAAAGGAAATACTAATGATAATATTTAGACATACTAATGTGCTAATGTCAAGCCAATCAAACAACTGCTTACCAGGAGTTGTTGTTGTTGTTGTTGTTGTTAGTATTGTATTCGTCCACCCAATTATCCTAGATAGATATGAAATGATCTATTTTAATCAAACCCTACTAGGATTGAAGACACATTATTGATGATCTAACATTCACCTTTCTTATGCCCATTAGGAGCAGTTTGCAATGACGTGAGCTATGCGTAGAATGATTGCAGTTTCCCACGCTTACTTCACCAATCAACAATTTAAATAACTGAAGCTGATTTCAGAAACTTTGAAACATTCAATATTTGTCTTTAGCACAGTAATTTGACACTCTTCGCGCTACTTTAATTTCGAATAATTTACCTGAAATGTTAAAAACAAATTATTTCAATGTACCAAAAGCTTCAATAACAAAGCGTCTTGTAGACTGCAGACATGATACTGACGCTGTCATGTGATTCACTGTTGTCATCATACAAAACACAAACAAACAGGAAAGTGCTTCCAACTGCAGAAGCTTGTGAACGATACTGAATTGAGAGTTTGAATCTACTGGGGGCATTTAAGACCATTAAGCCACTGGGATACGATCCAATGGCCAGCCCATTAATTCTAACTTCAGCCAATTCATGACATAGCGCCACAGCTAGCCAATGGCTTCGGCGATTATTTGTCCTCACACTCGACCTGCTGCACCTTTCTAGTCATGACTTCCCACTGGAAACCCAGGTAACTACCTACCGGAATAGGGCCAGTCGCCAGTGAGTACCTACTTGGTATTCAAGTATCAGTTGTTAGGGATTGGGTTGATTGGTTACAGGATTTCATCATAGGCTGACCTTGGTTAGAGAACAACTGGAAAACCTGAGAATACTGGATAGCTGTTTCGTCCCACTAAGTTGGGACTCTTCATCAGTACGCACCCACCGCCAAAGTTCGAACCTAGGACTTTCTGGTTACAAGGCGAGCTCGTAGACCATTGAGCCACTGTGATCCCATCCAATGGTTCTTGAATTCTAACTTCTGCCAGTTCACGACATAGCGCGAACATTTCGCAATGTCTACTTTGATGAGTTACTGCCTCATCTTCAACCTGCTTTACCCTACTGGACACGACTTCCCACTAGAACGCCAGGTTAACTGCCTGAATAAGGCCAGTCGCTAGTGAGCATAAGATTAATTTTCAAGTATTGGTTTTGTAGGGATTTCGCTTGATTGTATGGAGGATTTCACCATGAGCTGACATCAGTTAGAGAACCCCTGGAAAACCATTGGTTCGGGTTCAAATGGCTAAATGGTCTACGAGCTCACCTTGTAACCAGAATGTCCTGGGTTCGTACTGTGAAGAGTCCCAAACTAGTGTGACGAAACAGCTGTCCAGTACTCCCAGATTTTCCAGTGGTTCTCTAACAGATGTCAGCTCATGGTGAAGTCCTCCATACAATCAAACAAAATCCCTACAAAACCAACACTTGAAAATTAATCTTATGCTCACTAGCGACTGGCCTCATGCAGGCAGTTAACCTGGGGTTCAAGTGGGAAGTCGTGTCCAGTAGGGTAAAGCAGGTTGAAGATGAGGCAGTAACTCATCAAAGTAGACATTGCGAAATGTTCGCGCTATGTCGTGAACTGGCAGAAGTTAGAATTCAAGAACCATTGGATGGGATAACAGTGGCTCAATGGTCTACGAGCTCGCCTTGTAACCAGAAAGTCCTAGGTTCGAACTTTGGCGGTGGGTGCGTACTGATGAAGAGTCCCAACTTAGTGGGACGAAACAGCTATCCAGTACTCCCAGGTTTTCCAGTAGTTCCCTAATAGATGTCAGCTCATGGTGAAGTCCTCCATACAATCAAACAAAATCCCTACAAAACCAACACTTGAAAATTAATCTTATGCTCACTAGCGACTGGCCTCATTCAGGCAGTTAACCTGGGGTTCAAGTGGGAAGTCGTGACCAGTAGGGTAAAGCAGGTTGAAGATGAGGCAGTAACTCATCAAAGTAGACATTGCGAAATGTTCGCGCTATGTCGTGAACTGGCAGAAGTTAGAATTCAAGAACCATTGGATGGGATCACAGTGGCTCAATGGTCTACGAGCTCGCCTTGTAACCAGAAAGTCCTAGGTTCGAACTTTGGCGGTGGGTGCGTACTGATGAAGAGTCCCAACTTAGTGGGACGAAACAGCTATCCAGTACTCCCAGGTTTTCCAGTAGTTCCCTAATAGATGTCAGCTCATGGTGAAGTCCTCCATACAATCAAACAAAATCCCTACAAAACCAAAACTTGAAAAGAAAGATATGTGTCTATGTTTATGACTGTGTGTGTATTCCTGAGGTCGTTTGATCATACAGTGGAATATCATGAGTTTGACTGCAAGTGTTTACTTACATCTACGTGTTCCTAATGTCTAAAGTGACTGGTGTTGTTTTCATAATCAACCGATTTCATAGAATAAATCAGAAACACTCAGGTGTCGTCTCAAATTACACAGCTCAATATAAATCAGTTAGTAAATCAGTTTAACTTTGACCTCATTGATATTTTGTAAAGTGATAAATACATTTAAAATGTGATACAAGGTTATAGAACAGAACTGCTTCAAGATATGGAAAATATTAAACGAAACAATAGTAATCACATATCTAATTGTACTTACCTGCTACACTTGGCTTTCTGAATATTGTGAACGCTTGAATAATAAAGAACAGTACACACATAACGTCTTCTTCGTCATGGCTGTTACAAGTAACTGTTTTTGAGAAACTGTCAACAAGTAATTATTTATATATATCCAAACCAAGTTCACTTTTAACGGTTTGAAAAAATTTGGGCATTGGGTATATGATATTCATTATAATAGAGGTTTTTTGTATTTCCCAATAAATGAAAAAACAAAACGAGATTGTTTTTACTGACGTTTCGCTATTTAATGCTAATAGCTTTCTCAAAGTATTATTAAACCGGTTTAATAATACTTTGAGAAAGCTATTAGCATTAAATAGCGAAACGTCAGTAAAAACAATCTCGTTTTGTTTTTTCATTCATTGGGAAATACAAAAAACCTCTATTATAATGAAGTAATTATTTAGTTTGTTCACCAAAACCGTCCAGCTAATTTACACTTGCCAC